TTTTCCTTAAGGGTAGCTTTAGTGTAGCTTGACGTCTTCCAGTGTGAAGAAACTGGTAGCTTGGTAGATTAGCTTTCCCAACACTGGTATAAAGCTATACTGTACTCAAACATATCTGCAATCTCACACATATCTCACACATATCTATTAGTCAGTATTATTGACTATTTATCCTGTACAAACAAATGGTACAATAATTGTATATATATATACAGTGGGGAGAACAAGTATTTGATACACTGCCGATTTTGCAGGTTTTCCTACTTACAAAGCATGTAGAGGTCTGTAATTTTTATCATATGTACACTTCAACTGTGAGAGACGGAATCTAAAACAAAAATCCAGAAAATCACATTGTATGATTTTTAAGTAATTAATTTGCATTTATGCATGACATAAGTATTTGATCACCTACCAACCAGTAAGAATTCCGGCTCTCACAGACCTGTTAGTTTTTCTTTAAGAAGCCCTCCTGTTCTCCACTCATTACCTGTATTAACTGCACCTGTTTGAACTCGTTACCTGTATAACAGACACACTGTCCACACACTCAATCAAACAGACTCCAACCTCTCCACAATGCCAAGACCAGAGAGCTGTGTAAGGACATCAGGGATAAAATTGTAGACCTGCACAAGGCTGGGATGGCCTACAGGACAATAGGCAAGCAGCTTGGTGAGAAGGCAACAACTGTTGGCGCAATTATTAGAAAATGGAAGAAGTTCAAGATGACGGTCAATCACCCTCGGTCTGGGGCTCCATGCAAGATCTCACCTCGTGGGGCATCAATGATCATGAGGAAGGTGAGGGATCAGCCCAGAACTACACGGCAGGACTTGGTCAATGACCTGAAGAGAGCTGGGACCACAGTCTCAAAGAAAACCATTAGTAACACACTACGCCGTCATGGATTAAAATCCTGCAGCGCACGCAAGGTCCCCCTGCTCAAGCCAGCGCATGTCCAGGCCCGTCTGAAGTTTGCCAATGACCATCTGGATGATCCAGAGGAGGAATGGGAGAAGGTCATGTGGTCTGATGAGACAAAAATATAGCTTTTTGGTCTAAACTCCACTCGCCGTGTTTGGAGGAAGAAGAAGGATGAGTACAACCCCAAGAACACCATCCCAACCGTGAAGCATGGAGGTGGAAACATCATTCTTTGGGGATGCTTTTCTGCAAAGGGGACAGGACGACTGCACCGTATTGAGGGGAGGATGGATGGGGCCATGTATTGCGAGATCTTGGCCAACAACCTCCTTCCCTCAGTAAGAGCATTGAAGATGGGTTGTGCTGGGTCTTCCAGCATGACAACGACCTGAAACACACAGCCAGGGCAACTAAGGAGTGGCTCCGTAAGAAGCATCTCAAGGTCCTGGAGTGGCCTAGCCAGTCTCCAGACCTGAACCCAATAGAAAATCTTTGGAGGGAGCTGAAAGTCCGTATTGCCCAGCGACAGCCCCGAAACCTGAAGGATCTGGAGAAGGTCTGTATGGAGGAGTGGGCCAAAATCCCTGCTGCAGTGTGTGCAAACCTGGTCAAGACCTACAGGAAACGTATGATCTCTGTAATTGCAAACAAAGGTTTCTGTACTAAATATTAAGTTCTGCTTTTCTGATGTATCAAATACTTATGTCATGCAATAAAATGCAAATTAATTACTTAAAAATCATACAATGTGATTTTCTGGATTTTTGTTTTAGATTCCGTCTCTCACAGTTGAAGTGTACCTATGATAAAAATTACAGACCTGTACATGCTTTGTAAGTAGGAAAACCTGCAAAATCGGCAGTGTATCAAATACTTGTTCTCCCCACTGTATATATATATATATATACAGTGAGGGAAAAAAGTATTTGATCCCCTGCTGATTTTGTAAGTTTGCCCACTGACAAAGAAATTATCAGTCTATAATTTTAATGGTAGGTTTATTTGAACAGTGAGAGACAGAATAACAACAAAATAATCCAGAAAAACGCATGTCAAAAATGTTATAAATTAATTTGCATTTTAATGAGGGAAATAAGTATTTGACCCCCTCTCAATCAGAAAGATTTCTGGCTCCCAGGTGTCTTTTATACAGGTAACGAGCTGAGATTAGGAGCACACTCTTAAAGGGAGTGCTCCTAATCTCAGCTTGTTACCTGTATAAAAGACACCTGTCCACAGAAGCAATCAATCAATCAGATTCCAAACTCTCCACCATGGCCAAGACCAAAGAGCTCTCCAAGGATGTCAGGAACAAGATTGTAGACCTACACAAGGCTGGAATGGGCTACAAGACCATCGCCAAGTAGCTTGGTGAGAAGGTGACAACAGTTGATGCGATTATACGCAAATGGAATAAAAGCAAAATAACTGTCAATCTCCCTCGGCCTGGGGCTCCATGCAAGATCTCACCTCGTGGAGTTGCAATGAACATGAGAACGGTGAGGAATCAGCCCAGAACTACACGGGAGGATCTTGTAAATGATCTTAAGGCAGCTGGGACCATAGACACCAAGAAAACAATTGGTAACACACTACGCCGTGAAGAACTGAAATCCTGCAGCGCCCACAAGGTCCCCCTGCTCAAGAAAGCACATATACAGGGCCGTCTGAAGTTTGCCAATGAACATCTGAATGATTCAGAGGAGAACTGGGTGAAAGTGTTGTGGTCAGATGAGACCAAAATTGAGCTCTTTGGCATCAACTCAACTCGCCGTGTTTGGAGGAGGACGAATGCTGCCTATGACCCCAAGAACACCATCCCCACCGTCAAACATGGAGGTGGAAACATTATGCTTTGGGGGTGTTTTTCTGCTAAGGGGACAGGACAAGTTCACCGTATCAAAGGGACGATGAACGGGGCCATGTACTGTCAAATCTTGGGTGAGAACCTCCTTCCCTCAGCCAGGGCATTGGAAATGGGTCGTGGATGGGTATTCCAGCATGACAATGACCCAAAACACACGGCCAAGGCAATAAAGGAGTGGCTCAAGAAGAAGCACATTAAGGTCCTGGAGTGGCCTAGCCAGTCTCCAGACCTTAATCCCATAGAAAATCTGTGGAGGGAGCTGAAGGTTCGAGTTGACAAACATCAGCCTCGAAACTTTAATGACTTGGAGAAGATCTGCAAAGAGGAGTGAGACAAAATCCCTCCTGAGATGTGTGCAAACCTTGTGGCCAACTACAAGAAACATCTGACCTCTGTGATTGCCAACAAGGGTTTTGCCACCAAGTACTAAGTCATGTTTTGCAGAGGGGTCAAATACTTATTTCCCTCATTAAAATGCAAATCAATTTATAACATTTTTGACATGCGTTTTTCTGGATTTTTTTGTTATTATTCTGTCTCTCACTGTTCAAATAAACCTACCATTAAAATTATAGACTGATCATTTCTTTGTCAGTGGGCAAACGTACAAAATCAGCAGGGGATCAAATACTTTTTTCCCTCACTGTATATATATATATATATATATATATATATATATATATATATATATATAGTATACAGGACCAGTCAAAAGTTTGGACACGTACTTATTCAAGGGTTTTTCTTTATTTGTACTATTTTCTACATTGTAGAATAATGATGATGACAGCTTTGCACACTCTTGGCATTCTCTCAACCATCTTCATAAGGAATGCTATTCCAACAGTCTTGAAGGAGTTCCCACATATGCTGAGCACTTGTTGGCTGCTTTTCCTTCACTCTGCGGTCCAACTCATCCCAAACCATCTCAATTTGGTTGATGTTGGGTGATTGTGGAGACCAGGTCATCTGATGCAGCACTCCATCACTCTCCTTCTTGGTCAAATAGCCCTTACACAGCCTGGAGGTGTGTTTTGGGTCATTGTCCTGTTGAAAAACAAATGATAGTCCCACTAAACACAAACCAGATGGGATAGCATATCGCTGCAGAATGCTGTGGTAGCCATGCTGGTTAAGTGTGCCTTGAATTCTAAATAAATCACTGACAGTGTCACCAGCAAAGCACCCCCACACCATCACACCTCCTCCTCCATGCTTCACGGTTTGGAACCACACATGCGGAGATCATCCGTTCACCTACTCTGCGTCTCACAAAGACACGGTGGTTGGAACCAACATTCTCAAATTTGGACTCATCAGACTTTTTGGCCTGCAATCTGAGGTGCAGTTAACTCTAATGAATTTACCCTCTGCAGCAGAGGTAACTCTGGGTCTTCCTTTCCTGTGGCGGTCCTCATGAGAGCCAGTTTCATCATAGCGCTTGATGGTTTTTGGGACTGCACTTGAAGAAACTTTTGAAAGTTCTTGACATTTTCCGGATTGACTGACCTTCAAGTCTTAAAGTAATGATGGACTGTCATTTCCCTTTGCTTATTTGAGCTGTTCTTGCCATAATATGGACTTGGTCTTTTACGAAATAGGGCTATCTTCTGTATACCACCCCTACCTTGTCACAACAAAACTGATTGGCTCAAACGCATTAAGAAGGAAAGAAATTCCACAAATTAACTTTTAAGAAGGCACACCTGTTAATTGAAATGCATTCCAGGTGACTACCTCATGATGCTGGTTGAGAGAATGCCAAGAGTGTGCAAAGCAGTCATCAAGGCAAAGGGTAGCCACTTTGAAGAATCTCAAATATAAAATGTATTTTGATTTGTTTAACACTTTTTTGGTTACTACATGATTCCATATGTGTTATTTCATAATTTTGATGTCTTCACTATTATTCTACAATGTAGAAAATAGTTAAAATGTTGTCACATACACTGGAGAGGTGCAGTGAAATGTATTGTTTTACAGGGTCAGCCATAGTAGTACGGCGCCCCTGGAGCAAATTAGGTTGAAATGCCTTGCTCAATGGCACATCGACAGATTTTTCACCTTGTCGGCTCGGGAATTCGAACCAGCGACCATTCGGTTACTGGCCCAACGCTCTAACCGCTAGTGCTTTATTATTGGCTATATGTGTGTAATTAAATTAGTCTCTAAACAATGTTTTCATATTATGTTTCCTTTATTCCAGCTTAAGTACAAGGAAGGTTTGAAAAAGGACACCTCCCCCAGTTTTTATTCTACGCTGCCAGAAACAATTGAGACTAATTTTGCGAAACGACAATCAGCAATGCGGAGCCAGGTAAAGAATTATTCTGTATATATATACTGTTAGAATACACAGCATGCATGTACAATGTGCATTCTTGCAAAATGACTACAAGAAAAATAGTTTTTCTGTTGTTTATTAAAATTTGCTCTGAGTACAATCTCAGAGAAATCATGAATAATTTGATTTCAGGCTATCACATATTTTGATTTGTGGGTCAGTGATTAGAAATGTTTAATGTTGCTTCATATCCAATTTATCTAAAACAACTATAAGTAAATTTTTGGGGAGGCTTTTGTGTGGGAAGCAAACACATAAGTTATTCTCACTGGTGTTTGGTAATGCTTTGTAGGCTTGGTCTCAACTATCTCTGGTTCATAAGCCGTCTCTCCATTTCTACTATACCAGATCAAGTATAAAGAAGATACTGAGGAGAACTCTATCAACCTCTACTCTCTGCTCCCCGAGACAGCAGATACACAGTTTGCAAAGCAGATGTCTGAAATGCAGAGCGTGGTAAATATCTGTTTAAAATCTCCAAACATCAACATGGGCTGAACTAACTGGAGTTATTTTACTGTAAATCTCTCATTAACATAAATTCATTGATTTGTACAAAATGTGATTCTCAAAATTGGATGTTTCCTTTAGTCAATAACTGAAGCCAGAGAAGGAGGAATTCCCTTTCCAAGAGAAACACAGAAACATTTATCCTTTTTCTTAATCGATCTTCATGTACAAAAAATGCCTTTTAGTCAGTGAATATCTGTACGTTTTTATTATGTCTACAAAAGTAGCAGTGTCTTTTGTTGCTGTTGTTTTCCAGACAAAATACAAAGAAGCAGGGAAGAAAGAGGCCTCCACTTCTCTCTACTCCACCTTACCAGAGACTTTGGAGACCCAGCACGCCAAAGAGGCTTCACAGCTACAGAGTGAGGTAAGAACATGGGCTGCCCATCTGATGTCTGTACATTACATTTTTCATCATAACTAATTCAGAGGAAACCCTTCCTGTTACTGACAAACATACATTACTTCAGTATCAAACGTCAGTGTACCTTTCCATCTAATGGAATAAAGCCTGAGCGTTCTAAGATGAAGCAAATCTCTGCCTGTGTTATTTGAGTGCTCCAATGCCTTTACCATAAATAAGTCCACTATTGGAAGTTTCTTTTGGGTAAGCCCAATTTATGGATTCCTGTCTTTGTTGTTGAGCAGCACCCCTCCTACTTTACTTTGTTTGCTGAAGCACGGAGGCCTACCTCAACTCACATCCATTACTTTGTTTTCCAGCTCAAATACAAAGGTGAGAACGTCTTCTCTGGTTCGGCTTACTCTCAACTCCCTGAGACGATGGAGACAGAGAGAGCTCGGGAGCTCACAGAGATGCAGAGCAAGGTGAGCACGAATGCTCCTGGCATTAACATAATTGCATTATAGTCATTCTGCTAGCAACTTCCATTGCCACTCCAGATGTCTTCAGACATAAGCCAGGTTCAGAAACAATTCCCCTGGGTACAGTGCCTTCAGAAATAATTCACACCGTTTGACTTTTTCCACATTTTGTTGTGTTACACCCTGAATTTAAAATTGATACAATTCAGATGTTGTGTCACTGATCTACACACAATACCAGTCAGAATGGAATTTTGTTTTTGGAAATGTTTACAAATTAATTAAAAATGAAAAGCTGAAATGCCTTGAGTCAATAAGCATTCAACCCCTTTGTTATGGCAAGACTAAATAAGTTCTGTAAAAATGTGCTTAACAATTCACATAATAAGTTGCATGGACTCTGTGTGCAATAATAGTGTTTAACATGATTTTCGAATGACTACCCCATCTCTGTACCACACACATACAGTACAATTATCTGTAAGGTCCCTCAGTTGAAGTGAATTTCAAGCAGATTCAACCACAAAGACCAGGGATGTTTTATAATGCCTTGAAAAGAAGGGCACCTATTGGTAGATGGGTGAGAAAAAAAAGCAGACACTGAATATCCCTTTGAGCATGCTGAAGTTATCAATTACACTTTGGATGGTGTATCAATACACCCAGTCACTACAAAGATGTAGGCGTCCTTCCAAAATCAGTTGCTGGAGAGGAAGGAAACCTTCTTTTCACCATGAGGCCAATTATGATTTTAAAACAGTTACAGAGTTTAATGACTGTGATACGAGAAAACTGAGGATGGATCAACAACATTGTAGTTACTCCACAATACTAACTTAATGACAGAGTGAAAAGAATGAAGCCTGTACAGAATACAAATATTCCACAACATGCATCCTGTTTGCAATAAGGCACTAAGGTAATACTGCAAAAAAATGTGGCAAAGCAATTAACTTTTTCTCCTTATGTTTGGGGCAAGAAGACAGTGAATGTTCCTGAATTGCCGAATTACAATTTTGACTTAAATCTATCTGAAAATCTAGGGCAATACCTAAAAATGGTTGTCTAGCAATGAACAACAACCAATTTTACAGAGCTTGAAGAATTTTGAAAATAATAATTGCCAAATGTTGCACAATCCAGGTGTGGAAAGCTCTTCAAGACCCAGAAAGCAATGTTCCCTCTAAGCTGTGTGAGTGCTCCAGGACTGCCGCGCAGAAGAAATGCCAGACCGTGCGTAGAGACGGAAGAGATTGAACTTCACTGAGTTCACCACATTAGTTTGCACTATATAGATCAACATTTTTTCTGTGATCTAATGAACATTATATCAGCCCCTTTTCAATGCAACAAACAAAACCAAATCTAACTTTGCGAGATTGAGTCTGTAATTTTGCTGTAGGCAGAGCCAGAGTGCAACAGAGTAGAATTCGGCCGAGTGAATGAATGCGCTTTTTTCAGATCAGTTAAGATCAGAGCCGCGTGTGAACAATTGTTGATATTCTTTGCGAGTTAGCTAGATATTAGCCCAATTATACAGTGAGGGATAAAAGTATTTGATCCCCTGCTGATTTTGTACGGTTGCCCACTGACAAAGAAATGATCAGTCTATCATTTTAATGGTAGGTTTATTTGAACAGTGAGAGACAGAATAACAACAAAAAAATCCAGAAAAACGCATATCAAAAATGTTATAAATTGATTTGCATTTTAATGAGGGAAGTAAGTATTTGACCCCCTCTCAATCAGAAAGATTTCTGGCTCCCAGGTGTCTTTTATACAGGTAATGGGCTGAAATTAGGAGCACACTCTTAAAGGGAGTGCTCCTAATCTCAGCTTGTTACCTGTATAAAAGACACCTGTCCACAGAAGCAATCAATCAATCAGATTCCAAACTCTCCACCATGGCCAAGACCAAAGAGCTCTCCAAGGATGTCAGGGACAAGATTGTAGACCTACACAAGGCTGGAATGGGCTACAAGACCATCGGCAAGCAGCTTGGTGAGAAGGTGACAACAGTTGGTGCGATTATTCGCAAATGGAAGAGCCTGGGGCTCCATGCAAGATCTCACCTCGTGGAGTTGCAATGATCATGAGAACGGTGAGGAATCAGCCCAGAACTACACGGGAGGATCTTGTCAATGATCTCAAGGCAGCTGGGACCATAGTCACCAAGAAAACAATTGGTAACACACTACGCCGTGAAGGACTGAAATCCTGCAGCGCCCGCAAGGTCCCCCTGCTCAAGAAAGCACATATACAGGGCCGTCTGATGTTTGCCAATGAACATCTGAATGATTCAGAGGAGAACTGGGTGAAAGTGTTGTGGTCAGATGAGACCAAAATTGAGCTCTTTGGCACCAACTCAACTCGCCGTGTTTGGAGGAGGAGGAATGCTGCCTATGACCCCTAGAACACCATCCCCACCGTCAAACATGGAGGTGGAAACATTATGCTTTGGGGGTGTTTTTCTGCCAAGGAGACAGGACAACTTCACTGCATCAAAGGGACGATGGACGGGGCCATGTACCGTCAAATCTTGGGTGAGAACCTCCTTCCCTCAGCCAGGGCATTGAAAATGGGTTGTGGATGGGTATTCCAGCATGACAATGACCCAAAACACATGGCCAAGGCAACAAAGGAGTGGCTCAAGAAGAAGGACATTAAGGTCCTGGAGTGGCCTAGCCAGTCTCCAGACCTTAATCCCATAGAAAATCTGTGGAGGGAGCTGAAGGTTCGAGTTGCCACACGTCAGCCTCGAAACCTTAATGACTTGGAGAAGATCTGCAAAGAGGAGTGGGACAAAATCCCTCCTGAGATGTGTGCAAACCTGGTGGCCAACTACAAGAAACGTCTGACCTCTGTGATTGCCAACAAGGGTTTTGCCACCAGGTTTGCACACATCTCAGTACTAAGTCATGTTTTGCAGAGGGGTCAAATACTTATTTCCCTCATTAAAATGCAAATCAATTTATAACATTTTTTACATGCGTTTTTCTGGATTTTTTTGTTGTTATTCTTTCTCTCACTGTTCAAATAAACCTACCATTAAAATGATAGACTGATCATGTCTTTGTCAGTGGGCAAACGTACAAAATCAGCAGGGGATCAAATACTTTTTTCCCTCACTGTACGTAGATAAGTATAGGTCAGCAATGGGGAGTTACTGCTTCCTACAAGAGCACAAAATGTGTAGGCTACATTTCAAGCTGTCTTTGAAAAGGGAGTCAGGTAAAAAGCTTACGTCTTAATTAAAGGGGCAGTGTTGTATTTTGAGACATGCTTGAATATGCAAATAAGCCAATAGGCAGAGGGGTAGCCTACATTGTCTAATTCTCTGTTGTTACAGGAGGGGGTCGCAGTTCCGGAGAGACCCACTAGGTGTCATCCTCTGACAACCTTAGGCACCTCCTCACTCACAGTCTGGACTAATCATTATCTTATTGGTGTCACCTGTGTCTACCTGTTCACCTGTGTATTTATGCCCTCACTTCCCTGTGTTCCCTTGCTCTGTTTTCTCTGCTAGTTCTTGATGCCAAACAGTACTAATCCGTGTCTGATCGCGAGACGTATGTACAGGTACTTGAGAAGTGTTCTCCCTGTTTCATTGTTGTTTTCAGTCATAGTTAGTATTTCGTATGTTTGCTGTCAGCCTGTTTTTGGAGACCAATTTTCTCCTCCTTTATTCATGACAAGTCCGTTATTTTGTATCCTGGTTTTGGGACCACCAGTAAAGATCCTGGTTTCACCATCTCTGCCTACTGCCTACTGTCTATCCTGCACCGCACCTGGGTCACACCTCACACCAACACATACACTCTGTATGGTATGGTGTTACAGACTAAGTAAAAAATAATTATGTAAAAACTTATAGGCTACTGTAGGCTATATCATAGAAATCAAAAGCTATTTTTATGTGAAAATGTTATGGGATTCACTCCATTGATATTGTTGGTAGGCCTACATTATGCTCAAATAGCCACAATAGCCTATTGGCTACTGTCTAAAACTGTAAGGGTACAGCCTCAGTGTTCACTGTGAAATTCTCACAACGTTCTCACAACGTTCAAGTTTCCGCTTACAATACCTAAAATTTGCTCAGTGCCCCAAAGAATTTGAGGGAACATTGCCAGAAAGACTCACAGCTGTATTCGCTGCCAAAGGTGCTTCTACAAAATATTGACTCAGGGGTGTGAATACTTATGTAAATTAGATATTTCATTTTCAATAAATTTGCTAACATTTCTACAAACATGTTTTCACTTTGTCACTTTGTTGTGTAGATGGGTGAGAGAGAAAATATATGTAATCCATTTTGAATTCAGGCTGTAACACAACAAAATGTGGAATAAGTCAAGGGGTATGAATACTTTCTGAAGGCATTGTATCCAATAATTTCAGTGTCTAGCTTGAGATCATTAAACAAGTATTAATACTTACTCATCTCTCTCTGTTTCTCAGATCAAATACAAAGAGAGTGGGAAGAAGGACATCTCAACCTCCCTCTACTCTCTACTCCCAGAGACCACAGAGATCCAGTTTGCCAGAGAAATGACAGAGATGCAGAGCGAGGTGGCTGGACATTTAGTTCATAACTTCTGTTTTAGCCGCTTTTCTGTATAATGACCAAAAAAGTAGAACGATTATACAGTACCAGTCAAAAGTTTGGACACACCTACTCATTCCAGGGTTTTTCTTTATTTTTACTATTTTCTACATTGTAGAATAATAGTGAAGACATCAAAACTATGAAATAACACATATGGAATCATGTAGGAACCCAAAAAAGTGTTAAACAAATCAAAATATATTTTATATTTGAGATTCTTCAAAGTAGCCACCCTTTGCCTTGATGACAGCTTTGCACACTCTTGGCATTCTCTCAACCAGCTTCACCTGGAATGCTTTTCCAACAGTCTTGAAGGAGTTCCCACATATGCTGAACACTTGTTGGCTGCTTTTCCTTCTCTCTGCGGTCCAACTCATCCCAAACCATCTCAATTGGGTTGAGGTCGGGGGATTGTGGAGGCCAGGTCATCTGATGCAGCACTCCATCACTCTCCTTCTTGGTAAAATAGCCCTTACACAGCCTGGAGGTGTGTTGGGTCATTGTCCTGTTGAAAAACAAATGATAGTCCCACTAAGCCCAAACCAGATGGGATGGTGTATCTCTGCAGAATGCTGTGGTAGCCATGCTGGTTAAGTGTGCCTTGAATTCTAAATAAATCACAGACAGTGTCACCAGCAAAGTACCCCCACACCATAACACCTCCTCCTCCATGCTTTACGGTGGGAAATACACATGCAGAGATCATCCGTTCACCCACACCATGTCTCACAAAGCCACGGCGGTTGGAACCAAAAATCTCACATTTGGACTCCAGATCAAAGGACAAATTTCCACCAGTCTAATGAACATTGCTCGTGTTTCTTGGCCCAAGCAAGTCTCTTCTTCTTATTGGTGTGCTTTAGTAGTGGTTTCTTTTCAGCAATTCGACCATGAAGGCCTGATTCACACAGTCTCCTATGAACAGTTGATGTTGAGATGTGTCTGTTACTTGAACTCTGTGAAGCATTTATTTGGGCTGCAATTTCTGAGGCTGGTAACTCTAATGAACTTATCCTATGCAGCAGAGGTAACTCTGGGTCTTCCATTCCTGTGGCGGTCCTCATGAGAGCCAGTTTCATCATAGCGCTTGATGGATTTTGCGACTGCACTTGAAGAAACTTTCAAAGTTCTTGAAATGTTCCGTATTGACTGACCTCCATGGCTTAAAGTAATGATGGACTGTTGTTTCTTTTTGCTTATTTGAGCTGTTCTTGCCATAATATGGACTTGGTCTTTTACAAAATAGGGCTATCTTCTGTATATCCCCCCTACCTTGTCACAACACAACTGATTGGCTCAAACACTTTAAGAAGGAAAGAAATTCCACCAATTAACTTTTAAGAAGGAACACCTGTTAATTGAAATGCATTCCAGGTGACTATCTCATGAAGCTGGTTGAGAGAATGTCAAGAGTGTGCAAAGCTGTCATCAAGGCAAAGGGTGGCTATTTGAAGAATCTCAAATATAAATATATTTTGATTTGTTTAACACTTTTTTGGTTACTACATGATTCCATATGTGTTATTTCATAGTGTTGATGTCTTCACTATTATTCTGCAATGTAAAAAATAGTAAAAATAAAGAAAAACCCTTGAATAAGTAGGTGTGTCCAAACTTTTGACTAGTACAGTATATCACAATACTTTCCTTTTCCAGAATAAATACAAAGAAGAAGGAAAAAGGTGTATCTCCACGAGTGTGTACTCTCAGCTTCCAGAAACCACAGAGACACAGTTTGCGAAAGCTGTATCTGAACTTCAGAGTGAGGTTAGTAACTATTCCTTACAGTATAGGTAAATTGTTCTTACGTGTTTGTTCCATTTGGAATGATGCACTGTAACGGAAAACTGTAATTTATACGGTATTTTTGGGAATTTTCAACAGTAAATTACTATGAAACGTTTTACTGCAGCATACTGTAAATTATGGTGCATTGTGGGAAAATGTTGTGGGTGAGGAAAGAATTGCTGTATTTCGAATGGTACTGTAATTCCACCCCACAGAATATAGTACCGTACCCTATCTTTGGAGCGCCAACAACCTTTTGACCACTAGTGGGTGCATGGTATTGTTGTTTCTGTCTCATTAACATATTTTGAGGCGTGAGTGAGAATGCTGTACCAATTTAACTCCTATGTGTTTATAGTGCCCCTTTAATTAAAAGTGTATAGGGGACAGATTGGGGTGGAAGCAACCTGCCAGTTTGGAAGCCTTTTTTAAGGCCTCTAGAAGTGCAAGTGATATAAAACACCAAATATGAATTAATATACTGTAATGTGTAAAATCTTTACCTAGCAGCCAACCTGCTTGCACCAATCCCTTGTAATTACAGTAAAATACTGTGAAATACAAACCCCTACTCTCAATGAATGTCATTCATCCATTCATTCATTTATTCATTCTGATTAAGGTAGCATTTACTATTTTACAGTATAATTGTACTTAGTGTCATTACACATTACTTGTTTTGATACCGTATTTATATTACAGTAGGTGTACTGAAATACAGAATTGTACTTGCCACTGAGGTGCCTGTAAGTTTCTGTCAAATGCATGGTAACCCCTTTACAGTGTGGCGATGCCTATTAAAATGATAAAGATCCTTGAGTAAATTCATTAGAAAGAAATACTGAATAAAATGCTGAATCTGTTTTTCCTCCATTTAGATGAAGTACAAAGAAGCAGGGAAGAAGGGAGTTTCTAGTTCTCTCTACTCCACCTTACCAGAAACAATGGAGACCCAGCACGCCAAAGAGGCTTCCCAGCTACAGAGTGAGGTAGAGTATAAACACATACTGTATTCACAATTACCTGCATATAATCTCACACATATAGTATATCTGCAGACTATTTAGCATGTAGAAAAGAATAGTGGCGGTACAATGAAACAGCCTGGTTTCATAGAATAATAATATAATATAATATGCCATTTAGCAGACGCTTTTATCCAAAGCGACTTACAGTCATGCGTGCATCCATTTTTTGTGTATGGGTGGTCCCGGGGATCGAACCCACTACCTTGGCATTACAAGCGCCGTGCTCTACCAGCTGAGCTACAGAGGACCACCTGTAGCTCAGCTACAGACATGAATAGACATAACATACATAATAAATGTACACTGAGTATACAAAACATTAAGAACACCTGCTCTTTCCATGACATAGTGGTGAAAGCTATGATCCCTTATTGATGTCACTTGTTAAATCCACTTCAGTCAGTGTAGATGAAGGGGAGGAGACAGGTTAAAGAAGGATTTTGAAGCTTTGAGACAATTGAGACATGGATTGTGTATGTGTGCCATTCAGAGTGTGATTGGGCAGGACAAAATACTTTGAACGGGGTATGGTAGTAGGTGCCAGACGCACCGGTTTGAGTGTCAAGAACTGCAACGCTGCTGGGTTTTTCACGCTCAACAATTTCCTTTTTGTCTCAAGAATGGTCCACCACTCAAAGGTAGCACAACTGTGGGAAGCATTGGAGTCAACTTGGGCCAGCATCCCTGTGGAACACTTTCGACACCTTGTTGAGTCCATGCCCCGAGGAATTGAGGCTGTTCTGAGGGCAAAAGGGGGTGCAACTCAATATTAGGAAGGTGTCCCTAATGTTTGGTATACTCAGTGTAAATCCAAGACACTCAAATTAGTATGATATGTTACGTTTGGTATGGTTGCACAAGACAGAAGGATACTTAAGGCAAAAACAAAAGTAGGTGGGGTGGATGGGGGGGGTGTATAATGCAAACGTCTAGCAACCCAAAGGTTGCTTGTTCGAATCTCATCACGGTTGACTTTAGCATTTTAGCTAATTAGTAACTTTGCAACTACTTACTACTTAGCATGTAAGCTAACCCTTCCCCTAACCATAACCTTAACCCTTTAACCTAACTCCTAACCCTAACCTTAAACGTTAAACGTTAAACCGAACCTTAACCCTAACCTTAACCCCTAACCCTAACCTCTACCCTAGCTAACGTTAGCCACCTAGCTAACATTAGCCACCTAGTTACCTAGCTTGATATGTTACAAATTGGAATTCGTAACGTATCATATGTTTTGCAAATTCATAACATATCTTACAAATTGCAATTCGTAACAAATTGTACAGATTGCAATTCATAAAATATCATACGAATTGTAATTCATAACATATCATATGAAATGGCTGATGGACATCCACAAATGAATACATACCATACGAAGTGTAACATATCATACTAATTGGAGTGTCCCAGATTTACTTTTACTACAGTATTTTACGTCTACCCCTGAGTCCAGGTTGAATGAAAAGGGGAACCAGGGGAAACCAGGTGCTTTATTAATGCTATTAGTGTGCTATTACATTTATCTCAAACCAATGTTTCCATGTGATGTTTCCTTTATTCCAGCTAAAGTACAGGGAAGGACTGAAAAATAACACCTCCCCCAGTTTCTATTCTACGCTGCCCGAAACAATTGAGACAAATTTTGCGAAACGACAATCAGCAATGCGAAGTGAGGTAAATAATATATCTGTGTGTATATACTGTTAGAATACACAGGGAGTACAATGTGCATTATCAAAAAATAATAATACAAAATAAAGGGAAATTCATTACAACAGAGGGTTTTTTTCTCATTTGAATTTTTTAAATAATTAATAATTGAATTCAGGCTATCACGTACAGTGTGGGGAAAAAAAGTATTTACTCAGCCACCAATTGTGCAAGTTCTCCCACTTAAAAAGATGAGAGGCCTGTAATTTTCATCATAGGTACACGTCAACTATGACAGACAAATTGAGAGAAAAAAATCCAGAAAATCACATTGTAGAATTTTTTATGAATTTATTTGCAAATTATGGTGGAAAATAAGTATTTGGTCACCTACAAACAAGCAAGATTTCTGGCTCTCACAGACCTGTAAGATCTTCTTTAAGAGGCTCCTCTGTCCTCCACTCGTTACCTGTATTAATGGCACCTGTTTGAACTTGTTATCAGTATAAAAGACACCTGTCCACAACCTCAAACAGTCACACTCCAAACTCCACTATGGCCAAGACCAAAGAGCTGTCAAAGGACACCAGAAACAAAATTGTAGACCTGCACCAGGCTGGGAAGACTGAATCTGCAATAGGTAAGCAGCTTGGTTTTAAGAAATCAACTGTGGGAGCAATTATTAGGAAATGGAAGACATACAAGACCACTGATAATCTCTCTCGATCTGGGGCTCCACGCAAGATCTCACCCCGTGGGGTCAAAATGATCACAAGAACGGTGAGCAAAAATCCCAGAACCACACGGGGGGACCTAGTGAATGACCTGCAGAGAGCTGGGACCAAAGTAACAAAGCCTACCATCAGTAACACACTACGCCGCCAGGGACTCAAATCCTGCAGTGCCAGACGTATCCCCCTGCTTAAGCCAGTACATGTCCAGGCCCGTCTGACGTTTGCTAGAGTGCATTTGGATGATCCAGAAGAGGATTGGGAGAATGTCATATGGTCAGATGAAACCAAAATAGAACTTTTTGGTAAAAACTCAACTTGTCGTGTTTGGAGGACAAAGAATGCTGAGTTGCATCCAAAGAACACCATACCTACTGTGAAGCATGGGGGTGGAAACATCATGCTTTGGGGCTGTTTTTCTGCAAAGGGACCAGGACGACTGATCCGTGTAAAGGAAAGAATGAATGGGGCCATGTATCGTGAGATTCTGAGTGAAAACCTCCTTCCATCAGCAAGGGCATTGAAGATGAAACGTGGCTGGGTCTTTCAGCATGACAATGATCCCAAACACACCGCCCGGGCAACGAAGGAGTGGCTTCGTAAGAAGCATTTCAAGGTCCTGGAGTGGCCTAGCCAGTCTCCAGATCTCAACCCCATAGAAAATCTTTGGAGGGAGTTGAAAGTCTGTGTTGCCCAGCGACAGCCCCAAAACATCACTGCTCTAGAGGAGATCTGCATGGAGGAATGGGCCAAAATACCAGCAACAGTGTGTGAAAACCTTGTGAAGACTTACAGAAAACGTTTGACCTGTGTCATTGCAACAAAGGGTATATAACAAAGTATTGAGAAACTTTTGTTATTGACCAAATACTTATTTTCCACCATAATTTGCAAATAAATTCATTAAAAAATCCTACAATGTGATTTTCTGGATTTTTTTCTCTCAATTTGTCTGTCATAGTTGACGTGTACCTATGATGAAAATTACAGGCCTCTCTCATCTTTTTAAGTGGGAGAACTTGCACAATTGGTGGCTGACTAAATACTTTTTTTCCCCACTGTATTTTGTTTTTTGGGTCAGCGCTGGTAAATGTTTCATGTCGCCTTTTCATATCCAATATATCCAAATAACTAAAAGGGAATCTTTGAGGAAGCGAACACATACAAGGTTCTCTCACTGGTGTTTGGCAATGATTTTGTAGGCTTGGTCTCAACTATCTCTGGTTCATAAGCTGTCTCTCCATTTCTACTATACCAGATCAAGTATAAAGAAGATACTAAGGAGAACTCTATCAACCTCTACTCTCTGCTCCCTGAGACAGCAGAGACACAGTTTGCAAAGCAGATGTCTGAAATGCAGAGCGAGGTAAATATCTGTTTAGAATCACCAAACATCAACATGGGCTGAATACAGTTCTAACTTGAGTTATTTTACAGTGAAAATCTCTCGTTGACATCAATTTATTTATTTATACAAAATGTGATTCTCAAAATTGGATGTTTCCTTTAGTCAATAACTGAAGCCAGAGAAGGAGGAATTCCCTTTCCAAGAGAAACACAGAAACATTTATCATTTTTCTTTATCGATCTTCATGTACAAAAAACATGAGAATAACTGTACGTTTTTATTATGTCTACAAAAGTAGCAGTGTCTTTTCAGTGGTGTAAAAATACTTGAAAGGACTACTTAAGTAGGTTTTTTGGGTATCTGCACTTTACTCTTTATATTTTTGACTACTTTTTCTTCACGACATTTCTAAAGAAAATTATGTATTTTATACTCCATACATTTTCCCTGACACCCAAAAGTACTCATTACATTTTGAATGCTTAGCAGGACAGGAAAATGGTCCCATTCACTCACTTATCAAGAGAACATCCCTGGTCATCCCTACAGCCTCTTATGTGGTGGACTCACTAAACACATGCTTTGTTTGTAAATTATGTTGGAGTGTGCCTCTGGCTATCCGTAAATAAATAAAAAACAATTCAATTATGCCGTCTGGTTTGCTTAATATAAGGACTTTGAAATTATATATACTTTTACTTTTGATACTTAAGTATATTTAAAACCAAATACTTTTAGACTTTTACTCAAGTAGTATTTTACTGGGTGACTTTCACTTTTACTTGAATCATTTTCGATGAAGGTATCGTTACTTTTACTCAAGTATGACAATTGGGTACTTTTTCCACCACTGTGTCTTTTGTTGCTGTTGTTTTCCAGACAAAATACAAAGAAGCAGGGAAGAAAGAGGCCTCCACTTCTCTCTACTCCACCTTACCAGAGACTTTGGAGACCCAGCACGCCAAAGAGGCTTCCCAGCTACAGAGTGAGGTAAGAACATGGGCTGCCCATCTGATGTCTGTACATTACATTTTTCATCATAACTAAGTCAGAGGAAACCCTTCCTGTTACTGACAAACATACATTACTTCAGTATCAAACGTCAGTGTACCTTTCCATCTAATGGAATAAAGCCTGAGCGTTCTAAGATGAATAAAATAAAATAAAATGTTATTTGTCACATGCATCATCAAACAACAGGGGTGGACTAACAGTGAAATGCTTAATTACAGGCCCTTCCCAACAATGCAGAGAGAAAAAAAATAGAGAAATAATAGAAAAGTAAAACACGTAATAATAAAAGTAATAATAAATACACAATGAGTAACGATAACTTGGCTATACACACGGGGTACCAGTACCGAGTCGATGTGCAGGGGTATGAGGTAATTGAGGTAGATATGTACGTATAACTAGGAATAAAGTGACAGATAGTAAACAAATCTCTGCCTGTGTTATTTGAGTGCTCCAATGCCTTTACCATAAATAAGTCCACTATTGGAAGTTTATTTTGGGTAAGCCCAATTTATGGATTCCTGTCTTTGTTGTTGAGCAGCACCCCTCCTACTTTACTTTGTTTGCTGAAGCACGGAGGCCTACCTCAACTCACATCCATTACTTTGTTTTCCAGCTCAAATACAAAGGTGAGAACGTCTTCTCTGGTTCGGCTTACTCTCAACTCCCTGAGACGATGGAGACAGAGAGAGCTCGGGAGCTCACTGAGATGCAGAGCGAGGTGAGCACACATTTTTCTCAAAGACATGAATATTAATGCTAATGGGAACATTGCAAGTTTTATAGGACTACTTAGAAATCTTTATGAATATATCAGCGTTATCCGCAGAGTAACTAAACACGACTGAATCGTGTCATTTGTGGAAGTATAATTTTAAGTTAATGTCAAAATCCATCATCGATTCATTGTCTTTTCTTTAGCTCAAGTACAAACAGAGTGGGAGGAAGGGTATGTCCCAAAGCGTCTATTCCGTTCTAGCAGATACCATGGAGACCCAATTTGTCAAAAATGTGTCTGAACTGCAAAGTCAGGTGAGAAGAGCGGACGGTATTCCTTTCTCTTTTGGGGAACATTTCACCCAAAGTTCATATAGATTTTCATACTTCAATGACAATGTTTGTGAGAGAAGCAATTTCCAGATTTTATGGCTGTTGCCAAAGTTAAACTTCTGATATGGAGGTGAAGTCAATTACAGTATATGTTGTTTATCTGCATTGGTTTGAATGATTTTCTTTCAGACTAAGTACAAGAAGGCAGGGAAGAATAAGGCAAAGTCTCTCTATTCTGTGATGCCAGAGACTATGGAGATCCAACATGCCAAGCAGGTCTCCCAGCTCCAGAGCCAGGTGCAGTACAGTAACACTGACGTCCCCTCACCACACTTATAGGACATCTCTGCTTCATCAGTCGCACGGCTAATGAAATAAGCACTTACTCTAGGGGCGAACCCTAACTTCCTATTATTTTCTCTTCTTCATGCATTGATGTCTGTAGACGGGTTGGTTGTTTAGCAACAAAACCGACAGGGGGCAAAACAGACGGGGTTGTCTTAGTTTGTTGACAACATGTAAAATATATTTATTCTCCAATGTTTATTGAAAACATAAATACATTTGCACAATGAGCACTTGTTGTCTCTCAAATACATTGTTACAGTTGTTGGTTAGCTAGCTTGCGAATTTTGGTCATAATATCTTGTTCTTGATACCATGTTTTATTTTGAGATGTTTTCACTGATTTCATGTCAATGCTAATTATTAGCATTGACATGAAATCAGTCAAAACACCTCAAAACAAGACATGGTATCAAGAACAAGATAAAACCAGCTGAAATGAGACACTTATGATTCCCCACATGGCAGTTTCTTGTCATTGTTGCTAGCTATCTGGCCATCCAGAATCACAACAACATACGGACTTCTGCCCCATTGAACCGTGTGTATCGTTTTCATGACGTTGTCAGCTAACCCATCAGTGGGAGGCTAAGTGAAAATTCAACTTCAGTAGAAGTTAGGATTCGCCCTTTAGTCCTAGACTCTTTCTAATGACTAAGTAAGTGAACATTATAATGTTTAATTACATTTAAATTGTGATAATTCAATATTGTGTTGTAGCTAGAAATGCTGTAAAAAATAGATGATTTTGCTTCCTCTTTTCCAGCTCAAATACAAGGATGACGGGAAAAGGGAGATGTCCAGTTCTCTTTATTCTGTTCTCCCCGAGACGGCAGAGACTCATTTAGCCAAAGAGCTCTCTGAGATGCTGAGCGAGGTACAATATATTATAGTCTTTTTTATTTTTTATTCATTTAGCAGACGCTCTTATCCAGAGCGACTTACAGTTTTAGTGAGTGCATACATTTTTCATACTGGCCCCCCGTGGGAATCGAACTCACAACCCTGGCGTTGCAAGCGCCATGCAATACCAACTGTGGTCCTCTGTAGCTCAACTGGTAGAGCACGGCGCTTGTAACGCCAAGGTAGTGGGTTCGATCCCTGGGACCACCCATACACAAAAATGTATGCACGCATGACTGTAAGTCGCTTTGGATAAAAGCGTCTGCTAAATGGCATATTATTATTATTATTAACTGAGCTACAGGAGGCCCCACAGTCATGCCAACACAACAGCCAAATACTGTGGATTCTGCCTCCTCTCATGTCCCCCCCATTTTACTCATGAACAATTTAATGAATTGACTAGAAAGAAGCATTTACATGCATACTCTTTGCCTATTGAAATAGGGACATGAAACATGCATTATGACTTATTTTTGTTGTAGGTCAAGTATAAAAAGGAGGGTAAAGAAGGTATTTCCTCAAGCCTCTATTCTCTGCTCCCGGAAACAACAGACACTCAGTTTGCCAAACAGATGTCAGAAATACAGAGTGAGGTACAGCAACTGTTTTACCACTAAATCAACGATTTTACTTTTTCTAGTTTAGTCTCTTGTTTGCAAAAAAAATTTATGCGTGAGTCAGGTTCTTGTGAATTTGTTTCCTCTCTTTACGAACGTCACAAAACAATGTTACTATTCTGAAATTATTTAGTAATTTCTTTGATGTATTTCCATGTCAAATTTTGTTAATTTAACAACCTTTCAATTTCTCAATACCAAAAATGACTTGCTCTTTCATTTTGGGCAATATGTTTTGTACTTTTCCAGTTAAAGTACAAAAGAGACATCGAGGAACTGCCCGATACCTTGTACGCACTACTCCCTGAAACCATGGAGACCAAGTTCGCAAAAGAAATGACTCAAGAAATGTCTCAGGTGGGGCTCACAGGGTTGTTTTAAACTGTGTGATAAAAAAAACAGCTTCACTCACACAAACTAAGCTGTTGTTCTGAAATGTCGTTTGCTTTTCATGGCCAGCTAAGTCAAAACTACTGCATTGCAAACAGTTAATAAAGGAGTTGTAGGATATTAGAATGTTATGGTGAAGTTTGGATAGGGGAAGAAATATAGCCATCAATGGAGACCTTATAAAAACAGACTTTAAACAGAGACTAAGTTGAACAGTCTATTTTGGTGGTAGGGTATTGGCTTGGGCTGTGGGGGTCAGTTAAAAATAGGCAGGTTGAGAGATAAGAGGAGACACTTAGAGGGAGGATGGACAGTCGAGGCCCATTTGTATGGAACTGATAACAACCACCAATGACAGTGAATGTCAGGATCGCAGACAATAATTGCCACTGACTCTAGAACTGCGATTTGCAAATGAATGACCAACAAATCAGCCCTCAAAGAAGGATGTGGTATGTTTGTCTTACTTCTAGATTGTGAGTATTGATTTGTATTTTGACCCATTTTCTGTGTCTGCCTGTGTGTGTCTCTGTGTGTGTGTGTGTGTGTGTGTGTGTGTGCGGCAGGCCAAGTACAAGGAGGCAGGCAAGCAGCAGTTCTCCACTTCTCTCTACTCCACCTTACCTGAGACTTTGGAGACCCAGCACGCCAAAGAGGCCTCCCAGCTACAGAGCGAGGTGAGTCACACACACACACATAATTCATGGGGTCTGTATTCAAGTGCTTTATATGCTACCAATGCTTTTTTACATCATGCCTTTTATTGGCTGATAATTAGCTTTTACAACATTCAGTACTTTTGCTCTGTTTTCAGAATAACTATAAAGAGGGAGGCAAAAAGGACATGTCAACCTCCTTGTATTCTCAACTTCCTGACACATTAGAGATCCAGTTTGCCCGAGAGCTTACAGAGCTCCAAAGTGAGGTATCTAGCTAGAACTCTTCAAATCATCTTACTGTGACTCTGTCTACTAGGCTTATTTGCACCAATGCAATCCATGTCATCATTTGGTTACATCATCTGAAGGAACAAGTGTAATGTTTTTTATGTCCATCAGAACAAGTATAAGGAAGACGGGAAAAGGAGTCTTTCGATAAGCATTTATTCTCAACTAGCAGAGACCAAGGAGACGCAGTTTGTGAAAGCCGTTTCCGATCTCCAGAGTGAGGTAAGACTTTAGATAATAGTTTTTGGTGACATTAGAACCCTTCATCATTGGCGAAACAACACTGTCATGTTTTATCTAGCCCAACAGATTATGAATACAGTCATGACAGCTGGGGTCGGCTTATGACAACTGACTTTACAGTGTTACGACACAAACAATGTTTATACCAACTAAATGGCTTAGCAAACAAATGTATTGTGTAATGTCAGTGTAAGGTACGTTTTAATAAGCTGACATGAACTGTCATGATTGTTTAAGACATCTGTTATGTCATGATTATGACAATGTTATGTAGACCATGACGGATGGTCTACGTCAAATGTAACTTACTTTTTCAAGATTTGAGTAGGAAACTTTTAGGGAGAAGGTAAAGATGTAGCAGACCTTGTAAACTAAACCAAAAAAACATAACTTTGTGTTTTAGAAAAAGTATAAGGAGGCAGTAAAGAAGCAGGTGTCTCTCTACGCCACCTTACCAGAGACCATGGAGACCCAGCACGCCAAAGAGGTTTCTCTGCTACAGAGTGAGGTAGAGTAACAGTGTACTTTTACACATTTACCGTAACATATACACTTATATACAGTATCCTTTAATATGTAGTGTACAAATATGGTTAAGGTATAGTTTATTACACTGATACAGTATTCCATACATTAAGACGTTATGCCTCATATAGATATATTCAGCTATTCAGATCCTCTAGTATCCCTCAGAATAAATATGTTTTCTGATCGTAATCATCATGATCACCATAGATGTTGTTTTCCGTTCTCTAGCTGAAATACAAGCAAGGTGGCAAAAAGGATACCTCCAGTTCTCTGTACTCCCTGCTTCCAGAAACGGCAGAGACCCAACTAGCCAAAGAGCACTGTGATATTTATAGTGAGGTAAGGCATCTTGAAAAACTTATGCCACCAAGCCTTTTGCAAAAACAACCATTTAAAAGACACATTACCCAGATCCACAGAAATCAAAGAGATATGCTTTCAGGTGAAATACAAAGAGGACGGTAAAAAGGAGCTTTCCAACAACCTTTATTCCTTGCTGCCAGAAACAGCGGACACACAATTTGCCAAGCAGCAATCAGAATTCCGAAGTGAGGTAAAGTTTTTTTTGTTGTTGCTCAGATTACTTTACTATTTCACTTTGATCAGTCAATGTAGAATATGTCTATTTTTTACCTGTTCCACAAAGTTATGTGTTGTAAAATACTCCATCTAATGTATAGCTGAAACACTCACAAAGAAATATATATATAATTATGTTGTGTGTGTGTGTGCATGTAGTTCTTCATATTGATGATGTTACTATAGGAATCATTTGTTTGTGTTTGTTTGCATTCACTCATTAATAATTGATTTAGTGTTAATTTCTGTCAACACTTTCTGTACCTTCCAGCAAAATTACAAAAGCGACACCCAGGAACTGTCCAATTGCTTGTACGCACTACTGCCTGAAACCATGGAGACCAAGTTTGCTAAAGAAATGTCTCAAGAAATGTCTCAGGTAATGTCTCAGGTGGGGCTCACAGGGTTGTTCTACTAACTGTATGATGACAAACCAGCAGCTTCACTAACACTACTCCTGCATGGTATCACAGCAGATGACTTCGAATGCCTCCTCTATCTCCTCTCTTAAATAGACGTAGACAACCTGCCCTATTGATAAGCATGCCTCTCTTCTTTCTTAATAAGTGATAAGAGACAGTGATAAGATACAGTGACAATGTTTATTGCGGGAAATGCATTCAGCAAGTCGTTGACTAACTTTGAAAATAATAACATTTTATTCAGCACATTATAATTCATAAGTTATATGTCAATGTTGAAATAAGAAATTATCTATCCGTTACCTATTATGTGAGATAATATCATGTTGTATTTTGTCTTCTAGTCTAAATACAAGGAGGCAGGGAAGAAAGAGGCCTCCACTTCTCTCTACTCCACCTTACCAGAGACTTTGGAGACCCAGCACGCCAAAGAGGTTTCTCTGTTACAGAGTGAGGTAAAGGTCTATGTGCCTCATATTATATTCTACCAATTCTAAGATACACATAAAGGCGGTGTTTTTAACCATACTTACTCATTTTGAAATAAATGCTGTGCTAAGCATTTGAAGTGAAAATATCATCCTAGGTCTTAATGAGGCTTCCAATTTGTTGTCTTTCCAGAACAAGTACAGAGAGAGTGTAAAACTGACCCAGTCCAGTAGTCTGTACTCTCAGCTCCCCCAGACTACAGAGACCCAGTTTGCTGCCAAAGTCTCTGACCTACAGAGCGGGGTAAAGAAGAAACACCCAAAGCTTCCTTCTGACACTAATGACAGTGAACCTTTTTATTATTGATTACCCCCAATAACACCTGACTAACAACACTCTCTACAGATCCCCAGTGTCTAAATCCAAAAGTCAAACTGAGTCCAATACTGTGTTTCTTCCCAATGGTGTCCTAGAACAAGTACAAACAGGAAGGTAAGAAGAGTATCTCTACCTGCATTTACTCTCAACTACCAGAGACCAAACAGACCCAGTTTGTGAAGGCTGTGTCCGAACTTCAGAGTGAGGTTAGACTTGGACACTCTTGATTGTTTTGCCACTTCCTTTCTATTTAGTTGCTGTCTCAAGTACACTGAAATATAATAATTACAGACAAAAGTTATGTTCATGCCAGTTCCAATGACTATACTGTATGGCAGTATTTCCCAACTCCGGTCCTCCAGTACCCCCAACAGTACACATTTTTGTTGCAGCCCCGGACAAGCACACCTGATTCAACTTGTCAACTAATCATTAAGCCTTCAATTAGTTGAATCAGTTGAGTTTGTCTGGGGCTACAACATAAATGTGTACTGTTGGGGGTACTGGAGGACCGGAGTTGGAAAACACAGCTGATAAGTAGATATGGTAGATATCATCTCTATTTGATAACAGTTAGTGTGCTGACAAGGAAATTCAGAAATAACATGATTGTTTCCATTGCGTCACAGACTAAATATAAGGAAGCAGGGAAGAAAGAGGCCTCCAGTTGTCTCTACGCCCTGTTACCAAAGACTATGGAGACCCAGCATGCCAAAGAGGCTTATCTGTTACAGAGTGAGGTAGACAAATCAACAATGTTATCAGTCTCAGGTGTCCTCCATTGTACAAAAGTAGCATTCCCAATAAGAACAGCAGTTGTAAATCGTTTTTCATTTCAACTGAAGCATACACACACACCCTCTTCTTCTCCAGAATAAGTACAAAGAAGGCGGTAAGAAGGAGAGTTTAACCTGCCTGTACTCTCAGCTTCCGGAAACCACTGAGATTCAGTTTGCTAAAACAGTGACAGAACTGCAGAGTGAGGTGGGTGGATGGATGGATGTTGCTGTAATACAATAGGCTATGATAATGGATTGATACAAGATCAAAATGGCAGTTTTGTTCTGAACTGCTTAGTCATTGCAGCTCTTGTTTTGTTTTTTCAGAATAAATACAAACAGAAAGGTAAACAGGCGATAGCCAGCAGCATCTTCTCCCAGCTGCCAGGGACAAAGGAGATCGAGTTTGCCAAACAGATTTCAGAAATGCAGAGCGAGGTAAACTATGCACGCACGTGTGTAAATATGTTTTGACTGTGAGTGTATGCAGTATACGTGTTGTACATGCATTTTAAAATCATATATAGTGTATATTTCTCTTTGTGTGTATTTCTATTAGAAAAATATATACATGGTATATTTTTGAGAAAAAAAATATGAAGAAAATATATGCTGTGTAATATATGCATTTTCAGATCATATGTACTGTTTATTTTAATGTGTGTGTTCTTGAAAAATATATACATAGAATGGTATATATATTTCAAACATTCTCGTTGGGTTTTTGGGGGGGGTATCCTTTTTGCTTTTCAGCAAAATTACAAAAGTGACACCCAGGAACATTCCAATTGCTTGTACGCACTACTGCCTGAAACCATGGAGACTAAGTTTGCTAAAGAAATGTCTGAAGAAATGTCTCAGGTAATGGCACACAGGGTTGTTCTACTAACTGTATGATGAAAAACCAGCAGCTTCAATCACACTCATGCGGAATGGCTCTATGTTAGTCATAGACTTACCGTATCAACTACTGCAGCCAGCATCAAATAGCTCAAATATTCCAGTTGTTGCTTCTATACTCTGAGTTTTCTCTCAAGCTGATTTACTCTAGATGGGTTCTTGGTGGAGTTGAGAGGAAAGATCATCAGAGACAATGTTGTTGTTGTTGTTTTCAGAGTAAATACAAAGAAGCTGGGAAAAAGGAGATGGCCAACTCTCTGTACTCCCTCATGCCCCAGACCAGTGAGATCCAGCATGCCAAAGAGCTCTCCCAGCTCTACAGCCAGGTATACTGTGTGTGTGTATACAGTGCATTCGGAAAGTATTCAGACCCCTTTGACTTTTCCCACATTTTGTTACGTTACAGCCATATTCTTAAATTGATTAAATAGTTTTTTCCCCTCATCAATCTACACACAATACACCATAATGACAGAGCAAAAACAGGTTTTTAGAAATGTTTGCTAATAAAAAACTGAAATATTACATTTACATAAATATTCAGTCCCTTTAATCAGTACTTTGTTGAAGCACCTTTGGCATCGATTACAGACTTGAGTCTTCTTGGGTATGACGCTACAAGCTTGGCACACCTGTATTTGGGGAGTTTCTCCTATTCTTCTCTGCAGATCCTCTCAAGCTCTGTCAGGTTGGATGGGGAGCGTTGCTGCACAGTTATTTTCAGGTCTCTCCAGAGATGTTCGATTGGGTTCAAGTTCCGGGCTCTGGCTGGGCTACTCAAGGACATTCAGAGACTTGTCCTGAAGCCACTCCTGCGTTGTCTTGGCTGTGTGCTTAGTGTCGTTGTCCTGTTGGAAGGTGAACCTTCGCCCCAGTCTGAGGACCTGAGCGCTCTGGAGCAGGTTTTCATCAAGGATCTCTCTGTATTTTGCGCCATTAATCTTTCCCTCGAACCTGACTAGTCTCCCAGTCCCTGCCGCTGAAAAACACCCCCACAGCATGATGCTGCCACCACCATGCTTCACCGTAGGGATGGTGCCAGGTTTCCTCCAGATGTGACGCTTATCATTCAGGCCAAAGAGTGTAATTTTGGTTTCATCAGACCAGAGAATCTTGTTTCTCATGGTCTGAGAGTCTTTAGGTGCCTTTTGGAAAACTCCAAGCGGGCTGTCATGTGCCTTTTACTGAGGAGTGGCTTCCGTCTGTCCACTCTACCATAAAGGCCTGATTGGTGGAGTGCTGCAGAGATGGTTGTCCTTCTGGAAGGTTCTCCCATCTCCACAGAGGAACTCTAGAGCTCTGTCAGAGTGACCATCAGGTTCTTGGTCACCTCCCTGACGAAGGCCCTTCTCCCCCGATTGCTCAGTTTGGCCGGGCGGCCAGCTCTAGGAAGTGTCTTGGTGGTCCCAAACTTCTTCCATTTAAGAATGATGGAGGCCACTGTGTTCTTTGGGACCTTCAATGCTGCATAATTTTTTTGGTTCCCTTCTCCAGATCTGTGCCTCGACACCATCCTGTCTCGGAGCTCTACGGACAATTATTTCGACCTCATGGCTTGGTTTTTGCTCTGACATGCACTGTCCACTGTGGGACCTTATATAGACAGGTGTGTGCCTTTCCAAATCATGTCCAATCAATTGAATTTACCACAGGTGGACTCCAATCAAGTTGTAGAAACATCTTAAGGATGATCAATGGAAACAGGATTCACCTGAGCTCAATTTTGAGTCTCATAGCAAAGGGTCTGAATACTTATCTAAATAATCTATTTATTTATTTATTTATTTTTTTGTAGAAATTTGTTAATACCTGTTTTTGCTTTGTCCTTATGGAGTATTGAGTGTAGATTGCTGAGGATATATATATTTTTTAAATCAATTTTAGATTAAGGCTGTAACGTAACAAAATGTGGAAAAGGTCAAGGGGTCTGAGTACTTTCCGAAGGAACTGTGTGTGTGCGTGCGTGTGTTGTTTATAATAAATATTGACAAACAGTATGTGCAACGAGGTTCCCTTCTTGTTTCAGAAAAGCTACAAAGAAGAGGGTAGGAAGGACACGGGCCACAGTCTGTACTCACAGATGCCCCAGACCATTGAGACTGCATTCGCTAAAGAGGTGGCCAAGCACCAGAGTGATGTAAGCATGCCAGTATCTGGTCCCCCAGCTGTAGTCCATGTTTCTGTCAGGTTTAGTTGTGTCCAGCTGTATGCTTGACCCTTGATGCTATGATATACCTGAATATCATCAAGTCTGAGCCACCTGCTAAATGAGGATAGAATAGCTATGTGATGGATCAGTGCTCATATAGTAGTCCAGGTGGAATGCCCTGTAATATGAGTGGAACACACACACACGCTGCCCCACCAATCCCTTACCCCTATTAGTCTTCAGTGCCAATGGATTGGACAGGGGAGTGGGTATCAAGGTGCCCAGCCAGGCGTGAGGCTGACGGGAACAGCTGTGATGTCTACTGCCCTGCAGGCAGACCCACTGGCCCAGACACAGACACACCCCCTCTGTCTGGTCTCTGTCTGTCTCGGTCTTTCTCTCTCTGTCTGTCTCTGTCTCATTCAGTCTGATCTCTGTCTGGCTCAGTCTGGTCTCTTGTCTGGCTCAGTCTGCTCTCTGTCTGGCTCAGTCTGCTCTCTGTCTGTCTCTGTCTCTGTCTCTGTCTCTGTCTCTGTCTCTGTCTCTGTCTGGCTCAGTCCACTCTCTGTCTGGCTCAGTCTCTCTCTCTCTCTCTCTCTCTCTGTCTGTCTCAGTCCGCTCTCTGTCTCTGTCTCTGTCTGTCTCTCTCTGTCTCTGTCTGTCTCTCTGTGTCTCTGTCTGTTTCCGTCTGTCTCAGTCCGCTCTCTGTCTCTGTCTGTCTCTGCCCGGGTCTGGCTTCTAGACATGGGCACTGTAAACTGCTCTGTGTGTGTGTGCGTCCGTGCGTGCGTCCGCGTGTGCGTGCCGAGAATGCATACCTCCCCACTGTCCGCTGTGGAAAGCCTCTCTCCAGAGAAGTGTGTAGCAATTTGGTGTTTGGGTGCATCGTGTCTCCCTAACACCGATCAGAGGTTTGAGGTGATAAATATATGCTTAGTATTTTATTCCCATTTGTAGTTCTCCACGTCCCACTTGATCTATTCTTGCATCGCTCCATTTCCCAAACAGCTATAACACTGGCGCCCATCACCTCTCAGTGCCCTGTGACTGGTTCATACCAGAGGTACCTGGATAACGAGCGGTTATTCTTTAGCCGCATATTGTTAACATTACAGGGGCTCCTCCTGCTAAATGATTCACGCTCAGATGGGAATCTCGTGTACTGTGGGTGGGTGATGTATCCGTTCCAGGGTCTCGTGTAGTCAGCACGTTGAATATGTAATGGTTTTCTTTCCCTTCTCTCTCTTCTCTCTGGTCTGTCATCCTCTCCAGAAACTGTACAAGGAGAAGTACAACGCGGAGAAGGGCCAGTCCAGTTACACCACCATGGAGACCTTACCAGAGGTCTCCCACGCTATGGAAGTCAACAAACAGCAGAGCGAAGTAATTACCCACAATGCATTTTCCCCTGATACAAACTACATTCTTTATTTTTTCATTTTATGTTTATAATGCAGAAATAGTGAATATGAGAGACAGGCAGTAAGGAGGAGGGTTTGTTAGAAGGGAGTTGGCCAGATTTGAACCTGGCTTACAGCGGTAACCGTTAGATCACTGTAGGCCACACAAGCTACAATCATGGGAAATGTTATGGGTTAGGCTAGCTAGATGTTGTTATTTGTGCTGTATGGAATACGTTTGTCCGAAGTTTTAGTGAACATGGATATGAATCCATGGAAAATTCAAGTGCACACAAATGCAGATTTTATCCACATCCTGCATGTTTGGTTGAGGTCAGGGATTTCTGTGTACCAATATCCCATAATGGATTCTGAGGGCCCTCTGGCCATGTTGCTCATTTGAGAGATGTCAGTATGCATCAACATCACCTAGGGAAAAGTGGGCCAAAGGATGTCACTGATTGTTCCCATTGATTGTTCTGGTGTCTATCACTGTGCTTAATCTCTCTGTTACAGGAAATATTAGCCAGTGTGGAGACATTGCATTTTGACACAGAATGTTACAGTACACAAATGATGATGATTGAATGAATGCCCCTGAAATGCAAAAAATGAATCGCTCCACAAATAATCCTAACACTTCCTTCCCTCCTCAATGCCTTCAGGTCAACTACAGGACAGGGAAACAGGACCACCACAATTTCACCACGTTGGCGGACAGACCTGATATCCAGAACGCCAAACAGGCCACTGAACTGGCCAGCGACGTGAGTTCATATCAAATCAAACTTTATCTTAAGCGCAAAACAATACAATAGAATATATATATATATATATATATATATATATATATATATATATATATATTCTATTCTATTGTTTTGCGCTTAAGATAAAGTTTGATTTGATATGTATGTATGACTGTATATATATATATATATATATATATCCAGTACCAGTCAAAAGTTTGGACACACCTACTCATTCAAGGGTTTTTCTTTATTGTTGCTGTTTTCTACATTAAACAAATCAATATATATTTTCAATTTGAGATTTTTCAAAGTAGCCACCCTTTGCCTTGATGGCAGCTTTGTACACTCTTGGCAATCTCTCAACCAGCTTCATGAGGTAGTCACCTGGAATGCATTTCAATTAACAGGTGTGCCTTGTTAATTTGTGGAATTTCTTTCCTTCTTAATGCCAATCAGTTGTGTTGTGACAAGGTAGGGGTGGTATACAGAAGATAGCCCTATTTGGTAAAAGACCAAGTCCATATTATGGCAAGAACAGCTCAAATAAGCAAAGACAAATGACAGTCCATCATTACTTTAAGACATGATGGTCAGTCAATCCGGAAAATGTCAAGAACTTTGAAAGTTTCTTCAAGTGCAGTCGCAAAAACCATCAAGCGCTATGATGAAACTGGCTCTCATGAGGACCGCCACAGGAAAGGAAGACACAGAGTTACCTCTGCTGCAGAGGATAAGTTCATTAGAGTAACTGCACCTCAGAAATTGCAGCCCAAATAAATGCTTCACAGAGTTCAAGTAACAGACACATTTCAACATCAACTGTTCAGAGGAGACTGTGTGAATCAGGCCTTCATGGTTGAATTGCTGCAAAGGAACCACTACTAAAGGACTCCAATAAGAAGAAGAGACTTGCTTGGGGCAAGAAACACGAGCAATGGACATTAGACCGGTGGATGTCTGTCCTTTGGTCTGATGGGTCCAAAAGTGAGATTTTTGGTTCCAACCGCCTTGTCTTTGTGAGACGCAGAGTAGGTGAACGGATGATCTCTGCAAGTGTGGTTCCCACCGTGAAGCATGAAGGAGGAGGTGTGATGGTTTGGGGATTCTTTGCTGGTGACACTGATATTTATTTAGAAACCAAGGCACACTTAACCAGCATGGCTACCGCAGCATTCTGCAGCGATACGCCATCCCATCTGGTTTGCGCTCAGTTGGACTATCATTTGTTTTTCAACAGGAAAATGACCCAAAACACACCTCCAGGCTGTGTAAGGGCTATTTTACCAAGAAGGAGAGTGATGGAGTGCTGCATCAGATGACCTGGCCTCCACAATCACCCGACCTCAACCCAATTGAGATAGTTTGGGATGAGTTGGACCGCAGAGTGAAGGAAAAGCAGACAACAAGTGCTCAGCACATGTGGGAACTCCTTCAAGACTGTTGGAAAAGCATTCCTCATGAAGCTGGTTGAGAGAATGCCAAGAGTGTTCAAAGCTGTCATCAAGGCAAAGGGTGGCTATTTTGAAGAATATTAAATATATTTAGATTTAACACTTTTTGGGTTAATACATGATTCCATATGTGTTATTTCATAGTTTTGATGTCTTCACTATTATTATACAATGTAGGAAATAGTCAAACTAAAGGAAAAACCCTTGAATGAGTAGGTATGTCCAAACTTTTGACTGGTCCTGTTTATACAGTTGAAGTTGGAAGTTTACATACACCTTAGCCAAATACATTTAAACTCAGTTTTTCACAATTCCTGACATTTAATCCTAGTAAATATTCTGTGTCTTAGGTCAGTTAGGATCACCACTTTATTTTAAGAACGTGAAATGTCCGAATAATAGTAGAGAGAATGATTTATTTCAGCTTTTATTTATTTCATCACATTCCCAGTGGGTCAGAAGTTTACATACACTCAATTAGTATTTGGTAGCATTGCCTTTAAATTGTTAAACTTGGGTCAAACATTTTGGGTAGCCTTCCACAAGCCTCCCACAATAAATTGGGTGAACTTTGACCCATTCCTCCTGACAGAGCTGGTGTAACTGAGTCAGGTTTGTAGGCCTCCTTGCTCGCACACGCTTTTTCAGTTCTGCCCAAAAATGTTCTATAGGATTGAGGTCAGGGCTTTTTGATGGCCACTCCAATACCTTGACTTTGTTGTCCTTAAGACATTTTGCCACAACTTTGGAAGTATGCTTGGAGCCATTGTCCATTTGGAAGACCCATTTGTGACCAAGCTTTAACTTCCTGACTGATGTCTTGAGATGTTGCTTCAATATATCCACATAATTTTCCTTCCTCATGATGCCATCTATTTTGTGAAGTGCACCAGTCCCTCCTGCAGCAAAGCACCCCCACAGCATGATGCTGCCACCCCTGTTCTTCACGGTTTGTCACGGTTTCGGCCGAGGCTGCCTCTCTCCCTTGTTCGGGCAGGCTTCGGCGTTCGTCGTCTCCGGAATTCTAGCTGCCACCGTTCTATGTTCTGTGTTTCCTGTTTGATTAGTTTTGTCTGTTAGCCACACCTGTTTTGTGTTAGGTCTCATTATGCACCCTATTTAGTTCCCTGTTTGTGTGTATAGTGTTGTGTGTAATTGTCGCTTGTCAGATGGTTGCGTAGCTGTGTTATTTTTCCAGTACGCCAGGATTAGTAGTGTCCTCCTCTGTTTAGGAGAGTTTTGCGCACTGTGTTTTCGTGCGATCGTGTGTTGACGCCTGTGCGCGTCTGTTTGGCATCCTGCCGTTTGTGGATTATTTTGCATAGTAAAGTCTTGTTGGACTGTACCTCTGCTTCTGCGCCTGATTCCCCACCACACCATCACTACATCGTTGACAGAATTACACACCATAAACATGGAATCAGCGGGAGCCGAAGCAGCGCCGACGAGACTGGAGGTCCAGGTTCGGGAGCAACAGGAACAGATCCTCCAGATGGGAACCGCCCTGCAGGAGGTAATCACCACGCTCCAAGGCTGGGGCGCACCTCCAACACCTTCCTCACCGCCAGCCCAGCCAGCACCATCGGCCAGCCTGCCCATTCCAGCGCCAGAACACCGAGGGATCCGACTCGCTCTCCCGAGGGCCTACGACGGAACCGCGGCTGGGTGTCAGGGATTCCTCCTCCAGGTGGAGTTGTACCTGGCCACCGTACACCCGGCACCCTCGGGGCATGAGAGCGTGTCTGCCCTGATATCCTGCCTGTCCGGGAAGGCGTTGGAATGGGCCAACGCGGAGTGGAGGAAGATCGACGCCGCGAGTATCACCTACGACGAGTTCTCCCGCCGCTTTAGGGCGGTGTTCGACCATCCCCCGGAGGGGAAAGCGGCGGGGGAGCGTCTGGTCTTCCTCCGGCAGGGGAGGAGGAGTGCTCAGGAATTCGCGCTTGAATTCCGTACTCTAGCGGCTGATGCAGGGTGGAATGAGCGGGCCCTCGTCGATATATATCGATGTAGCCTAAGAGAGGACGTCCGTAGGGAGCTGGCCTGTAGGGACACCAGTCTCTCTTTCGACCAGCTGGTCGACATGTCAATCAGGTTAGATAACCTATTGGCCACCCGCGGACGTCCTGAGGGGGGTCCGTCCATTTCACCCTCCAGCGCATCCGAGCCGTGTCCTATGGAGCTCGGGGGCACTGGCGCTAGAGATAGGAGGAGTCGGCAGGTGAGGGGGTCCATCCACTGCACCAACTGTGGTCGGGGAGGACACACCGCGGCTAGGTGCTGGGGATGGCCTCCTCGGGGAGATGACGACAGGTCCCGCACTGGGGATTCCCTCCAGGTGAGTAGGCGCCCCACTCACCCAGAGCTCACTGTTGCCCATTTTTGTATGCCTGTGCGTTTTCCGCAGGTGGCACCTCATTCCCAGTATAAGGCGCTGGTAGATTCAGGCGCGGCTGGGAATTTTATTGATAAGAAGTTTTGTTTAGAGTTAGGGTTTCCCCTTCTCCCTGTTGATGTTCCTTTTCCCGTTCACGCCCTAGATAGTCGTCCGTTGGGTACGGGCTTAATCAGGGAGGTCACGGCGCCACTTAGGATGTGTGCGCAGGGGAGTCATCAGGAGATAATTCAACTGTTTCTGATTGATTCTCCTGCGTATCCGGTGGTGCTGGGCATGCCCTGGTTAAGTACCCATAACCCCGTTATTTCGTGGCAGGAGAGGGCTCTGATGGAGTGGTCTGCTCAGTGTGTGGGTAGATGTTTGGGCGTTTCCATAGGGGCTACCTCGGTGGAGAGTCCAAACCAGGTGCCCGCATTGCACATTCCACCTGAGTATGGGGATTTGGCTATTGCGTTTAGTAAGGCGAGGGCGACGCGGTTGCCACCCCATAGGCAGGGGGATTGTGCGATAGACCTTCAGGCAGGAGCTGCGCTCCCACGGAGTCATGTGTATCCTCTGTCTCAGGAGGAGAAGAAAGCTATGGAGGTTTACATAGACGAATCACTGAGACAAGGATACATACGGCCGTCCACTTCCCCCGCGTCCTCGAGTTTCTTTTTTGTGAAGAAAAAGGATGGGGGTTTGCGTCCGTGCATCGATTACCGTGGTCTCAATCAGATTACGGTGAAGTATAGTTATCCACTCCCGCTGATTGCGACCATGACTGAGTCGTTGCATGGGGCGCGTTTCTTCACGAAATTAGATCTCAGGAGCGCGTACAACTTGGTGCGCATCAGGAAGGATGATGAATGGAAAACAGCCTTTAGTACCACCTCGGGCCATTACGAGTATCTAGTCATGCCATACGGGTTGATGAATGCTCCGTCAGTTTTCCAATCATTCGTGGATGAGATCTTCAGGGACATGCAGGGACAGGGAGTCGTGGTGTACATAGATGACATTCTCGTGTACTCACCTACCCGTGTCGAGCATGTGGCCCTGGTGCGCAGGGTGTTGCGGAGGCTGGTGGAGCACGACCTGTATGTGAAGGCAGAGAAGTGTCTGTTTTTCCAGGAGTCGATTTCCTTTTTGGGGTATCAGTTGTCTGCGTCAGGGGTGAAGATGGAGGTAGACCGAGTGTCAGCCGTGCGTAATTGGCAAACACCAACCACTGTGAAAGAGGTGCAGCAGTTTTTGGGGTTTGCGAATTACTACCGGAGGTTTATCCGGGGTTTTGGGCAAGTGGCAGCTCCCATCACGTCTCTCTTAAAGGGGGGCCCGGTGCGTCTGCAGTGGTCAGTCGAGGCGGACAGGGCGTTTGAGAAGCTGAAGGACCTGTTCACCTCGGCTCCGGTGCTGGCGCATCCGGATCCCTCTTTACCATTTCAGGTAGAGGTGGACGCGTCTGAGGCCGGTATTGGCGCCGTGCTTTCACAACGGTCAGGCGCGCCACCTAAACTCCGCCCCTGTGCCTTCTATTCCAAGAAGCTCAGCCCGGCGGAGCGAAATTATGACGTAGGGGACAGGGAGCTGTTAGCTGTGGTACAGGCCCTTAAGGTGTGGAGGCACTGGCTTGAGGGGACTCAACACCCTTTCCTCATTTTGACGGACCACCGTAACCTGGAGTACATCCGGGCAGCGAGGAGGCTGAACCCTCGACAGGCTAGATGGAGTATGTTTTTGACCCGTTTCTCTTTTAAGATCACCTACATCCCTGGGTCACAAAACGGTAAGGCAGATGCGCTGTCTCGGCGGTATGACGGGGAGGAGAGGTCCGTGGAGCCCACTCCCATACTGCCGGAGTCGTGTCTAGTGGCACCGGTGGTGTGGGAGCTCGATTCTGAGCTCGAGCGGGCATTACGCACCGACCCTAGTCCACCACAATGCCCGGAGGGTCGGAAGTATGTTCCGCTCGAGTGTCGGGATCGATTGATCTATTGGGCTCACACGTCACCCTCCTCTGGACATCCGGGTATCGGCCGGACAGTGCACTGTCTTAGTGCCAAATATTGGTGGCCCACGTTGGCCAGGGATGTGAGGGTTTATGTTTCCTCCTGCTCGGTGTGCGCCCAGTGTAAGGCGCCTAGACATCTGCCTAGGGGTAAGTTACTGCCCCTGCCCGTTCCACAACGACCATGGTCCCACCTCTCGGTGGATTTTATAACTGACCTTCCCCTCTCTCAAGGGAATACTACACTCCTGGTCGTTGTGGACCGGTTCTCTAAGGCCTGTCGTTTGCTCCCCATGCCGGGTCTTCCTACTGCCCTACAGACCGCCGAAGCACTATTCACTCATGTGTTCCGGCACTACGGGGTGCCCGAGGACATTGTGGCTGACCGGGGTCCCCAATTCACCTCCAGAGTCTGGAGAGCTTTTATGGAGCGGTTGGGGGTCTCGGTGAGCCTCACCTCGGGTTACCACCCGGAGAGTAATGGGCAGGTGGAACGCGTAAACCAGGATGTGGGCAGGTTTCTCAGAACATACTGCCGGGACCGGCCGGAGGAGTGGGCGAGATATGTGCCCTGGGCCGAGATGGCACAGAACTCTCTCCGCCACTCCTCCACCCAACTAACCCCTTTTCAGTGTGTTTTAGGGTACCAGCCGGTTCTGGCACCATGGCATGAGAGCCAGATCGAGGCCCCCGCTGTGGATGAGTGGGTGCGGCGCTCGGAGGAGACGTGGAACGCTGCACACGTCCATCTGCAGCGTGCCATACGTCGACAGAAGACGAGCGCCGACCTACACCGCAGTGAGGGGCCTGTGTACGCACCTGGAGATCGAGTCTGGCTCTCTGCCAGAAACCTGCCCCTCCGCCTGCCCTGTCGGAAACTGGGTCGGCGGTTTGTGGGGCCATTTAAAGTCCTGAGAAGGTTGAACGAGGTATGTTATAGATTACAGTTACCAGTTGAGTATAAGTGTATTAACCCCTCGTTCCATGTGTCCCTTCTCAGGCCGGTGGTAGCAGGCCCACTCCAAGAACATGAGATCTTGGAGACCCCCCCGCCCCCGTTGGACATCGAGGGGGCACCGGCGTACACCGTGAGATCCATCTTGGATTCTAGACGTCGGAGAGGGGGTCTTCAGTATCTAGTGGAGTGGGAGGGGTACGGTCCGGAGGAGCGGTGCTGGGTGCCGAGGAGAGACATCTTGGACCCGTCGCTCCTGACGGAATTCCATCGGGGGTATCCGACGCGCCCTGCGCCGCGGCCTCCGGGTCGTCCCCAAGGCCGGAGTCGGCGCGCGTCTGGAGCCGCGCGTCAAGGGGGGGGTACTGTCACGGTTTCGGCCGAGGCTGCCTCTCTCCCTTGTTCGGGCAGGCTTCGGCGTTCGTCGTCTCCGGAATTCTAGCTGCCACCGTTCTATGTTCTGTGTTTCCTGTTTGATTAGTTTTGTCTGTTAGCCACACCTGTTTTGTGTTAGGTCTCATTATGCACCCTATTTAGTTCCCTGTTTGTGTGTATAGTGTTGTGTGTAATTGTCGCTTGTCAGATGGTTGCGTAGCTGTGTTATTTTTCCAGTACGCCAGGATTAGTAGTGTCCTCCTCTGTTTAGGAGAGTTTTGCGCACTGTGTTTTCGTGCGATCGTGTGTTGACGCCTGTGCGCGTCTGTTTGGCATCCTGCCGTTTGTGGATTATTTTGCATAGTAAAGTCTTGTTGGACTGTACCTCTGCTTCTGCGCCTGATTCCCCACCACACCATCACTACATCGTTGACACGGTTGGGATGGTGTTCTTTGGCTTGCAAGCATCCCCCTTTTTCCTCCAAACATAACGATGGTCATTATGGCCAAACAGTTCTATTTTTGTTTCATCAGACCAGAGGACATTTCTCCAAAAAGTACGATCTTTGTCCCCATGTGCAGTTGCAAACCGTAGTCTGGCTTTTTTATGGCGGTTTTAGAGCAGTGGCTTCTTCCTTGCTGAGCGGCCTTTCAGGTTATGTCGATATAGGACTCGTTTTACTGTGGATATAGATACTTTTGTACCTGTTTCCTCCAGTATCTTCACAGGATCCTTTGCTATTGTTCTGGGATTGATTTGCACTTTTCGCACCAAAGTATGTTCATCTGTAGGAGACAGAACGCGTCTCCTTCCTGAGCGGTATGACGGCTGCTGGTCCCATGGTGTTTATACTTGCGTACTATTGTTTGTTCAGATGAACGTGGTACCTTCAGGCGTTTGGAAGTTGCTCCCAAGGATGAACCAGACTTGTGGAGGTCTACCATTTTTTTTTTGAGGTCTTGGCTGATTTCTTTGGATTTTCCCATGATGTCAAGCAAAGAGGCACTGAGTTTGAAGGTAGGCCTTGAAATACATCCACAAGTACACCTCCAATTGACTCAAATTATGTCAATTAACCTATCAGAAGCTTCTAAAGCCACGACATCATTTTCTGGAATTTTCCAAGCTGTTTAAAGGCACAGTCAACTTAGTGTATGTAAACTTCTGACCCACTGGAATTGTGATACAGTGAATTATAAGTGAAATAATCTGTCTGTAAACAATTGTTGGAAAAATTAATTGTGTCATGCACAAAGTAGATGTCCTAACGGATTTGCCAAACTATAGTTTGTTAACAAGAAATTTGTGGAGTTGTTGAAAAATTGAGTTTTAATGACTCCAGCCTAAGTGTATGTAAACTTCCGACTTCAACTGTATGTATATTAATTTTTTTATAAGAAAAGGTGTTGGACATGTTGATTTACCTCACTCTAGTCCCAAGATTAGACAAGAGGGTCACACTCTAAATGAACTTTAGATTTAGAGGTCTTCATCAGCACTAGATAGATGTTAACGTTTCATATCTAAGTCAGACTACGTAATGTGTGATAAAAGGGCCTTACACCATGTGTTGTGCCATAACTTTATTGCCTCCCTTTATATAGCATATGATAGCTGCTTGTGAATAATGTCTGACACATCTATATAGGCCTTATAAAGGGTTTATGAAGGCTTCATTAAGCCTTCAAAGTGGCAGTTTGTTTACAGTGGGACAGACAACTTTGCTTGTGCTGTGTAGGTGAGGCAGTGTGTGTGGGTAGCAGCGTTCATAAAACATTCAACGCCACCACTACTCTACCACCACATCAACAGTCCCAGTCCTGGTCCCTAGCTGTGCTCTCTCTCTCATGCACACAATCTGCATAATTTAGAGGGAAGACCATTAACATAATACGTAGAGAATACATACTATATAGAAAAGTTAGCCCTTTCATAGTGTGTCTTTGCTTGCCCTTGTCTCTCTGGTTTACAGGTGTCCTATAGGAGTAAAACTAAGCATGAAATCTACAATGATGTCCTGGGAAGGTCTGATATCGAGCATGCCAAAGTGGCCTCCAAACTCGCTAGCCAGGTAAGATAATAAAGCATCACATATATATATATTTATATACATATGTGTCTACTGCTGTTGTCATTTATAACCAGGTATTGTACCATTGACTGGAGAATTAGCTCGTCTCCAACCATGAAGGGAAGGAGATGATTTAAGAGTATTGTGACAAAGTCATGCATCTCGATACTGTTCTGACATGCCCTTCTGCCACTGTTAATGAAAATGAGACGAGGGAAGGAGGCAATTTTATTGCGACAGAGCCATGTAGTCTTTAGTGTTCTGTCCTCCGGCCACTGTTTAATGAAAGGACATTCATTCATGGCCTGGTCCCAGACCTGCTGAGTCCCCTGGTTCAGCACTACAGAACTGCCTGGCCTGGTACCAGACCTGCTGAGTCCCCTGGTTCAGCACCATAGATCTGCTGAGTCCGTTGGTTCAGCACTACAGACCTGCTGAGGTCCCTGGTTCAGCACCACAGACCTGCTGAGTTCCCTGGTTCAGCACCACAGACCTGCTGAGTCCCCTGGTTCAGCACCACAGACCTGCTAAGTCCCCTGGTTCAGCACCACATACCTGCTGAGTTCCCTGGTTCAGCACCACAGACCTGCTGAGTCCCCTGGTTCAGCACCACAGACCTGCTGAGTCCCCTGGTTCAGCACCACAGACCTGCTGAGTCCCCTGGTTCAGCACCACAGACCTGCTGAGTTCCCTGGTTCAGCACCACAGACCTGCTGAGTCCCCTGGTTCAGCACCACAGACCTGCTGAGTCCCCTGGTTCAGCACCACAGACCTGCTAAGTCCCCTGGTTCAGCACCACAGACCTGCTGAGTCCCCTGGTTCAGCACTACAGAGCTGCTTTGTCATGACTGCTGGGCGGAGAGCTGAAGGGGGAGGAGGAGGATTGCTGAGGGGAGAATTAGGGGTGGATAAGGGGGTAATGGTGTGTCTTCTACATCATTTCTGCTGTCGCTGTGTGTACTCACATATCTCTATCTCTGTCTCTGTCTCTCTCTATCTCTGTCTCTGTCTCTCTCTCTCTCTCATACACACACACACACACACACACTCATAACACACATCAGGTGCACTACAAGGAGAAGTTCGAGAAGGAGTTCAAGGGTCAGAAGCCACAGTACAACCCCAGCGACTGTGTGTCCTTCAAACACACACAGGCTGCCCACGCCCTCGCCAGCCAGGTGGGTCTCCAACGTGCCCTGTCCATCCCCACACATACCCCAGTCACGTGGTGCACTTATACCCTTTTCACACTATTGCACCGGCCCAAACTGTACTGTGCTGGCTCAGATTTATTTCCCACACAGTCCTTTCCAACACAGTTCCGGCCATTATGGTGGATGCGTAACCTGGGGTGTGTTCAGCAGGACACAACTTTCAGATAATAAGCTATGTAGAACAATCATGTTTTTCTACATGCCTCTCGGACATGTAGAATAAGCAATCACGTCGGCTCTATTTGTGGCATTTCTATCTGCAACGTTCAACAACGTTTGGCTACTGAACGTGGCAGCTCAGCCGTGCTTGGCTCAGTAGTGGGGTATTACATTACACTCACCTCAAATGTCCCTTCAGAACAGCCTGTAAATGATAGCTCAATGGGACACAACCCTCAGCTCCTGTCCTGTCTCCTGGGTTTGTTCCATTGAGGTTCCTCTGTTTTATTGCTTTCAATGTGCACTTAGCTAAAATTCAGGCTGCCGCGTTAGCAGTTTCCATGGGAACCTTTTAAAGGCAAATGGAGGGTTTGGTGGAAACTAAAGAGAGTGGGGCCCTTTGGATGAGAAGATGTAGCCTGTACTGTGAGGATGAAAGTTCCCACGTCAGACGTCTTAGGATTTGAGAACAGATTGCCTGTGTAATTACCAGGGTTGGTGTTCATGTAATCTCAATTCAGTCAATTCAGGAGGTAGATTGACATTGAAAACATCCTCAGTAAAAACAATGGGCCATTTTTAGTTGACTTGAATTGAAACGGGAATCGACCCCAAGCCTGTTGTACCACTCCCATGGGATGAGTGAGGTGAATCCTCTGTTGTTTACCTCACAGAATCCTCACATTGCTTCCTCGTCCTTACCTTGCACCCCCGACATGTGAAGGACAACACTAATTTCAGAAAGGTTTCTATCTGTGTTTGTTCTCTGTAGGTGAAGTATAAGACCAACCAGAACCAGGTGATTGAGGGATCCATGGACCTGCCCAACCTGCTGCAGCTGGAACACGCTCTACATGCCAGCAAGCTGCAGAGCAACGTAATGTTTCCCTCTCCTCTGTTTCAGATCATAACGTCTAGTAACCCTCCTAGAGAGCCGCTGGGTATGCACTATGCAGGCTTTTTGTCCAGCCCTGCTATAACAAACACCTGTGTCCTATGTCTATTCAGGTAGAGTACAAGAAGAAGTACGAGCAGTCTAAGGGACACTACCATGTAGCACTGGACACAGCAGAACAGCTCCACCACAGGGAGAATGCGGTACTGCACAGCCAGGTCAGTATAGTAAGAGACTCCTCACACTGGTCTATGCTACCATGGGCTTTACTGAAACAATGTTTCAACGCTGAAGGTCAAAACATCTAAATAAACCACATGGGAGCCTGGGGTGGAAAGGCGTGGATCTCCAGTTTTTTTTAAGTTAACTGGCTTGTGTGGTTCTGTTGGGATAAGCGTGGCACTAGCAGCAAGGTTGTAGGTTCACCTCCTGCAGTGATCACATACACACACAAAAAATGTATGCACTCACTGTACTGTAATACATATATTATACTGTATATTATAACTCCCACACACGTTGTTGATTGTCGATGTTTCTGTCTGTCTTGTGGTTTAATGGATGTGTTTACCTGACAGGTGAAATACAAGGAAGAGTATGAGAGAAAGAAAGGCAAGTCCCAGATGGAGTTTGTGGACACACAGTCTTACAGAGTGTCCAAGGAGGCTCAGAAAATGCAAAGCGAGGTGGGTGACACACATGCCTTTACTAGAATGATGTAACATGCTGAAGTGTGTGTGTGTGTGTTTGTGTGGTTGGTAATGACAGAAGGGTGATGGCGTGCCTCTTTCTTCCCACTGACATCAGAGAGAGTACAGGAAGGAATATGATGACCACATCCGGGGCAAGGCACTAGTGGACGTTGACCTGACCCCTGGATACCTGACCGCCCGCCACGCCAGCAACATCCTGAGTGAGGTCTGTGCCAACATAGCCCTCTATGCTATTTTAAAAGGATAATTAATCTCAAAATCAAATGTCTCTATACTTCAAATGTGGTCTTAAGTCTATGGTCTGAGTCCAGATTGCCATCTGCTGATATGCACCGTCTACACATACATTCAGTTAGAATTGAAAAAACATTGTCTTGATTGGGAATGTCCATTCTAGTAATGATATTTATATGGCTGGTGCCTACAGAGGGAGTACAGGAGGGAAGGACTGGAGGTGAAGGGGAGGGGGCTCTCAGGGCTGGGATTGGAGGACACACCAGACCTCATACGGGCTAAAAACGCCAGCCACATCCTCAATGAGGTACAGTTTGCTTCTATACTCATCTTTCACATGGGCAGTTTTTTTACTCCGTGGAATTTACATACACACACACACACACACACACACAAACCTTTGTGATGCACAATATCACACCATCATTACATTATGTGAGAATTAAGCAGTATTGAATCTGTCCCTCTAGAAAGAGTATCGCAAGGACCTGGAGAATGACATCATGGGTAAAGGCATGGAGATCAGTGGTGACGTGCTGGAGATGCAGAGGGCCAGGAAGGCCACAGAGTTAACCAGCCAGGTAGGGCCCAACCCATACCACTAGTTAACCAGCCAAGTAGGGCCCAACCCATACCACTAGTTAACCAGCCAGGTAGGGCCCAACCCATACCACTAGTTAACCAGCCAGGTAGGGCCCAACCCATACCATTAGTTAACCAGCCAGGTAGGGCCCAACCCATACCATTAGTTAACCAGCCAGCCAGGTAGGGCCCAACCCATACCACTAGTTAACTAGCCAGGTAGGGCCCAACCCATACCACTAGTTAACTAGCCAGGTAGGGCCCAACCCATACCATTAGTTAACCAGCCAGGTAGGGCCCAGTCCATACCACTAGTTAACTAGCCAGGTAGGGCCCAACCCATACCACTAGTTAACTAGCCAGGTAGGGCCCAACCCATACCATTAGTTAACTAGCCAGGTAGGGCCCAACCCATACCATTAGTTAGGCCCAGCTCCATTTTTCTACCTAGCCCCTATAACTTTGTTCTGCACAGATCGGCATTATGGTGAAAGATCCACTTAGTCTTAATTAGGAGTCCAAGTAGAGCCATAATCATATTGCTTACAACTATCCAAAGCCATTGATATATGTAGACCATAGGAGGCTGGTGGGGGGGAGTTATAGGAGGATGGGCTCATTGTAATGGCTGGAATAGAATAAATGGAATGGTATCAAACAGATCAAATATATGGAAACCACGTGTTTGACCCCGTTCCATTAATTCCATTCCAGCCATTAAAATGAGCCTGTCCTCCTATAGCTTTTCCCACCAGCCTCCTCTGAATTAGACAGGAGACACCAAAGGGTTAAAGGCTGAAACGGAACCAGTCACATTTGTCATATTTTAAATTCTCAATATTTCAAATGTGACGCAGCAGCAAAGTACCATATCTGCTTTGTGGCAATTGTTTCCATCTGAGAACACCTGCTCTCTTTTACAGACCTGCCAACAGTAATACTAATCAGCTCCACAGTCATTATAATCAGGCAAAATAACAGGCAGCAGATGGACTGTCAGGACCCGTCCAGCCTCAGGGCTCCATTACACAACAGCAACGCTCACAGATAACGTATGGTCCTCCCTCATCACTTATAGATGGCCCTAAGCATCGCCTGTCTGCATTGCTGTCTTATGAAACCACCTCATAAAACATTCATTTTAGAGACTATATTGTGTCTGTCTATTTTGTGTCACTCTAAAACAAGGCCTTCATTTGAAACCTTGATCGTGTTCATCGGGGGGGCACACAGTAGCAAAACGTTATGCAACAGGAAACGAAAACCAGTGTTTCTGTCATGCTTTTAATGTCCTGTTGTTGCTAAGCTAACCTAAGTCTGTGTGTGTAAGTGTCAGTCTGTGTTTGACTTTTTCAGGCCTCCTACAAGCAGACAGCCCAGCTGAGGGAGAGCTCATACGGTACAGTGACGGACACACCAGAACTACTGCACGCCGCCTACATGAAGGATGTCTACAGTCAGGTAGGGTTACCTCTCAGTACTGCATGCCACCATGCGTAGCACTTTATGTTACACTACTGAATGGGATATGTGCTTGAATGGAGTGTCAATCTCTTGGCTTTATGCAGAAGAAGTACAAGAATGAGGCAGAGAAGCTGAAGGGTTCGTATGGGTTCGACACCCCCGAGATGGAGAGAGTGAAGAACAACCAGAGGAACATCAGCTCAGTGAGGGACACAGTACACACCCACACACACACACACACACACACACACTTTTATAACATGCAGTATTATCTGTCAACACAGTTACCCTTTTGCTCTAAACCTCCAGTGTCGGTACGCTTGGGACTCAAAGCTGCACAAAAGCCTGATGTCTTCTGTCACCGATACTCCGGAAATCATCCTCGCCAGGGAGAACACAAAGAAAGTCAGTGATGTAAGATGTAATCCTTTGTTCTACACAACCACGTACAGTACATGTAGTCCTTGGGCCGTATGAACTACAGTATGATGCTGTAAGTTAGGCTGTACCTAGATCTGAACCTAGATCTGAACCTAGCTCTGTTATGTACTTGGCTTTCTTATTTGAACAAGGTCTTCAAGATGATGATGATGAGAGTGTTGATGGGAATTATTTTTAGGACATTTGTACGGTGAGCATGTAAACAGCGGCGCTGTAAGACTCTGTTCCATGTCCAGGTGAAATACAGAGAGGGGGTTGGGAGCGGGACGGCAGTCATGGAAACCCTTGACACAGAGAGGGTCCGCAGGAACCAGGAGAACATCAGCTCGGTGAGAACCTTGTCTGACCTTCGACCTCACAAGAAGGGCTTGTTTTGAAAACTGGTTTAATCTGGTTTTGTTTGGATATTCTACTGCTTCATTGCTGCAAACTAGAAATCACAAACGGCAGACACACTGAACAACCATTTAGTTACTGATACAATGCCTACCATTGAATTTGCTCCAGGCATTCCATTTAAACTCCTCAAAGATACAAGCCCCTGGTTTGTTGTTGAACACTATTTTGGTCTGAAACTCTGTCCTGTCCTGCCTGACACAGACTTTCACACTGGCCCTGGTCCAGTCTAAGTCAATACAGCCATTAGTCGATCCTGCTGAACAATCCCCCATTGAGAGAGCAGAGCAGACAGAAGGCCAGGAACAGCTGCCAATCACTAATGATACCCAGGAGGCAGAATCTTGCATGGGACATCATAATAATGTACTTTTCTGGTTGCAAACTGGTTTTCTGGTTGTAGAGACGGATAAACTCTGACTTGTGAATGTTGTTTTAACGTTGTGTGAATATTGTGTGTCCACAGGTGAAGTATAAAAAGCAGCTGCAGGCCACCAGTGTGGGAGTCACCCCAGAGATGGAGAGAGTCCGTCAGAACCAGGAGAACATCAGCTCGGCAAGTCACATAGGATGACAACCTATCAGTGGAGGCTGCTAAGGGGAGGACGGCTCATAATAATGGCTGAAATGGAGCGAATGGAATGGCATCAAACCATGTGTTTTATGTATTAGGTACCATTCCACATATTCTGCTCCAGTCATTACCACGAGCCCGTCCTCCCTTATTAAGGTGCCACTGATTCTGGCCAGATTAGCTTTTATATCAGGGGCATCAAACTAATTTTGCCCCGTGGGCCGCATTCGGTCTTCACCGAGGTCCGTAGGGCCGCACTTCAAATTGGCTATTAACCTCCTGTGCAACCTATATGTGGGCTCAGACCACAAGCAGTGCCCTCTGTAGTGGAAATGGCGCTACTTTAGAGATCCAACCAAACCCAGGTGGGACTGTGCTGGTTAGTATGACCATGCTTATCTTTTGTGCCTTCCAGGTGAAGTACCAGCGTGGGATGAAGGAGATGAAGGGCCGGTCCTGCAACGAGTTGGACACGCCCGAACTGAGGCGTGTCAGGAAGTCCCAGAACGACATCTCCATGGTAGAGCTCAGGTTACCATGGCGGTTGCGCAGACCATGGAGCGAGTTAACACAACTCAAGCACACTGCGGGTGGGACTGCTGCACTTTTAACATACAGAGCTAAAGAGTTAACAGCATGGCTGTTTCCTTTCATGAGGGAGCCATAATGAGCGTGTGTTCGTGAGCGTGTCTGTGAGTGTGTTTTACTAATAAAAATATTTGCACATGGTTTCTTGTGTGGAGTTTTTTTGCATACTGACCAAAATACACCCTTTTCTCACTGACCAAAACGCACTCTGTGTGTGTGTGTGTGTGTGTGTGTGTGTGTGTGTGTGTGTGTGTGTGTGTGTGTGTGTGTGTGTGTGTGTGTGTGTGTGTGTGTGTGCGTGCGTGCGTGCGTGCGTGCGTGCGTGCGTGCGTGCGTGCGTGCGTGCGTGCGTGCGTGCGTGCGTGCGTGCGTGCGTGCGTGCGTGCGTGCGTGCGTGCGTGCGTGCGTGCGTGCGTGCGTGCGTGCGTGCGTGCGTGCGTGCGTGTCGGCACGTGTTTTTGTGCGCTTGACAGCCGTTTTGCCTGGTGTGACACAATTTCACAAATGTGTTAATGTTCATCAATAATGTTCCTCTCATTAAGCTGCAACACAAAACTCTGAGTTGTTATCATGATGCTGAAAATGTGCCACCCATATTTGCTTTGACAGGCAAAATACCACGAGGACTTTGAGCGGACGAGGGGCCGAGGCTGCACCCCAGTGATGGAGGACCAAAGCATGGCGAGAATGCACCACCGGAACAACCTAATGATGGGTGAGGCAGCCTACAAGGGGGTGCACCCACAGGTGGTGGAGATGGACAGGAGACCCGGCGGCATCATCGTAGGTGAGCGGCACACAAAAAAGGATTTGACCTTAAAGTCAGGGAAATTGATTCTTAATTAATCTAATCTTTGAAGAGTCAGGGGAATTTGTGATGTCCTTTTCAATGACATTTGCTGTCTAGTGTCTAGCAATTAGGGGTTGTTTAGTGTCAGTGAATACAAGGATACAAGCCCAGATGTGTCCACGTTACATTTGTGGAAACAGAAAAGATCCATTGTGACAAGTTTCTCACTCTGCAGACGGAAGCTCCACGTTAGACTCTACTCACCTGGCCCGAAACTGTATGTGGTTTCTCTATGTAATCTACATGACTTCAGCTGTGTATTTCTGGTTTCCTTTCCTTTGTATTCCTGTTTTCTTCCTGTCTTATCTCTTTAAGTCTAAATTACCTTTCCCTGACCTTTCTCCTGTCAAAGACCTTAAGGTGTGGCGGACGGACCCAGGCTCCATCTTTGACTTTGACCCTGTGGAGGATAACATTCAGTCTAAAAGTCTTCACAGACTGTCTGGTACTACAAACCCTACATAATGCTTTCATCTCCCTCCACACTTTCCTGTATATCCTCCTCCTGCTCACTCATCTCTTCAACATTCAGCTGCATTTCCTCCTCCCTATGTTCTCTGTTTATTTTCTTTCCATTTCCTGACTGTTGTTTTTCCTACTGTCTCTGTCGCCCTCTTCTGGTGGTGCACCAGAGCGTGCGAGCCGCCTCACCCGGCAGCAGTCTCAGCAGTCGGTACACTCGCAGGCCCAGTCAGTGAGTTCACTGGCCTCTGCCTCTGACCTGTGGGACAAAAGCCTGTCTGTCTGCAGCAGCAGCTCTGCACTGCAGTCACAGGACAGAGGTAGTCAGAGCTCAGTCAGATTTTTTTTTTTTTAAGCATATAGAAATTAGATTTTTTAATTATTAGGTCATACAGATGCTTGGACTCGTGAGTCAACACACCAATAACAAGCATGTGCACACACACATACACACACACACATACACACAGTGGAAGGAGTAGACATCATTCATTCATTCATCCATTGACTATCAGTGTGACCCCTGATTCCCCTCTAACCTAACTCCTCTCCCAGCACGTGTCTGACCAACAGAATGCCTCCCTTGCCCTTCTCTATACAACCTGACCAACAGCCCACTGATATGAGGTACACAGGAGTCCCTAACCCAATGTTTGAATGCCTCCAAGGGTTTTGGCGATGGTTGTGATGTTTAACTGTTTTAACTCTAATTCTCTCACAGTTCTCTTCCCTGCCCACAGAAATACCTAACAGTCAGTAACTATTTGATTGATTTCAAGGTCAACTGGGGATGGCATGGTTCCATTTAGATTTCTTTGTGATGTGATGTTCTAACGATCACCTAGTATGCGCAGTGCAACTCAATGGAGAAGGTATTCCTGCTAAAAAAAAACAGTTTTGAGCACTAAATGAAAGGTCTCAAACTTTTGTCATCAATGTCTATGTGTCTTCCTGTCTGTCTTTGACTACCAGCCCCTGTGCTACCTGGGGCGTACCATCAGAGTGGCCAGCAGCAGCAGCATGGGTATGGCTACATGCACCAAACCAGCATGTCCTCTGTGAGGTCTGTGCAGTCCCCCCCATCTGTCACCATGGTGAGTTCCAATGCAAGCAGTCTATTATTGTAGTTTGAATTCCTACAGGATCTTATTTGTATGTCATGTTCAATTCAATTAGTAGATTATCCGAAATATGTCACTAAAATATTTGTTAACAACAAAATATTCACACAGTCAACTACTTGTATGCTGTGATATTTATGTTGTACAATTAACATTGTAGACACACATGATTAACATTGTTGCCATTCCTCCCATTCAGAGAGTGTACCGGGCGCTCTACGACTACGCAGCGCAGGACCATGACGAGGTGTCCTTCTGCGATGGTGACGTCATCGTCAACGCTCAGCCCATCGACGAGGGCTGGATGTACGGCACCGTGCAGAGGACCGGCAAATCAGGCATGCTCCCCGCCAACTATGTGGAGTGCTTCAACTAAGGGATGCATCTCAATAGTCTTCAAGTGGTTTTCTTTCCTCTCCCCTTTTCTCCTCTCCTCCATCCGCACTGAGTGAATAGGTGGAAGGGCCTACTGACATCCAGTCCAGTTATTTTCATGTCAGTACAGTTATTTTCATGTCAGTACAGTTGAAGGAGAGGAGATGAGGAAAGGAGGCCACTCTAGATTATTGAGATGCACCCACGGGCTAGCCTTACCATGGTGTAGGCGAAGTCCATTCCCTAAGTGTCTGTTTTAGGCCTGGCCCTGGAGAGCTGCATCAGTAAGATAAATTAATTGGATGGAGTTGCTCAATTTGCTCTGTCTAGACTGCAGGCACAAAATTATGTTAAAAGTAATCATGTAATACGTTTTGCTTTTGGTTTCATTTAAAAGCATTGGTGGCTTGTCCCACGTGATCAGAGTTCATGAAAATTGTTTATATAATTCAATCAGAGATTTGCAACCCTCAAATAGACAACATTAGCAGACAAAAATAAATATTCCATGGAATGCAGTCGAAAACATAATGATTCCCACAATAGAAAGCACATTTGAATTTGTTAAGCAGTGCAGTTTCTTTTTGTTTCACACAGTAAACAGTGTTGTGTTGACTTCATGATTCCAAACGTTCAGTCTTGCAGCACAAGAACAATAATGTTTTCGACTTATCCTGGAAAAGTGCTTAGCGGGTTTGCTTGAATAGCACCCAACATATTTCTGCAGGACCGGAATGGGGCCTTCTTCTTGTACTCCTTTGTATTTCATTTCTATTATTATGTTTCGCATTTAGACATCCACACTAACCGTGTTTTATGTACAAAGAAGGGAAGGGGAGAGGAGGTTGAGGAGAAATTCATGTTTCAGTACGATCCTGTCAGCAATTACCAGAAAGTTAGCTGTTTAGCTTTTGTCATCTCATTTAACACGCCGCTTCGTACTGTTTCTGTCTGATGACATAAGGGTTTGGTTTAAACCAGCTCCACAAGTAAATATAGTTGATACAAACTATAGTCAAAGAGTCACACAATCTCACCTCTTTCTGTGAGTTCAGTGGATTATTTACATCTCATATACCAGTTAAGCCTCACACAGGCTTTGATTAGATTATGTCCACATAATTTAGAGCTAACTGGCAACATGGTTGTCATATTTTGCCATTTACACAGTTTCAAGTAACACGCAAGACACAGGTTTTGATTAGATTATGTCCACATAACTTAGAGCTAACAGGCAACATGGTTGTCAAATTTTGCCACTTACACAGTTTCAAGTAACACCCAAGAATTGTATATGAAGTTGAATTGCAATCTTGACATTTCTGAACTATTGTGAATAATATTTTGATGTATAAGCTCCTATAAAGTATCGGATGGTTGTATTTTACTCTTCACTGTTGCAGACACTAATGACAGTACATGTATTTGTGCATGTTATAAATGGTTTATAATATCTTGAGGGGTGCAAAAATTATTGCATACTAGGCCTACTGTGGCCATTCAAGTACATTGTTTCTGGATACATGGTAGCTGGGGATCTCTTTAACATGTTATTGTACATTACATGTTATCACGGAATGTGGTAGCTAATAAACAGAAATGGATAAGTTGTAAAATGCTAATATATATTGGCCTTGAAGAGAAAATAATGGCACTGCAAGAAACATCATAGATATTTTGTGCCCAGAGGTTTTTTGCTTAAAGTAGTTCCGTTTTGAAATGTCTTTGTAAAAAAAAAAAAATGTTTTACTCAGTTTGTACACCATCACAAGTTTATTGAGGTGTCACTTTTTCCTGAGTTAACCATATGTTTAATTTTTTTGTCATTAATTGCAGTGTCACGTGTGAAAAATAAAAACGCTTTGTCAACAATGATTTTGTATTTGGCTAATTCAAACACCCTTTGAAAGGTGGTACAGAGTCAGTGCATAAATGTACTGACAGTGCATAAATGTACTGACACTGCATTGCAGTGCCTTAGACTCTTGAGTGGCGCAGTGGTCTAAGGCACTGCATCGCAGTGCTAACTGTGCCACTAGAGATCCTGGTTCGAATCCAGGCTCTGTCGCAGCCGGCCGTGACCGTCGTCCAGGGTAGGGGAGGGAATGGCCGGCAGGGATGTAGCTCAGTTGATAGAGCATGGTGTTTGCAACGCCAGGGTTGTGGGTTTGATTCCCACGGGGGGCCAGTAAAAAAAAAGATGTGTTCACTAACTGTAAGTCGCTCTGGATAAGAGCGTCTGCTAAATGACTAAAATGTAAATGTAAAATGTACTGTATTGACAAGACCACCATTTGTCTAAGGTTATTGAGCCTGTATGTTGGTAATAGCATGACTTATTAAAAAGCTTATTATATTCGCTAGTGAGTCTACACACCCCTTGCACAGTCTTCACATTTTGCTGCCTTAAAATTAATTATATAAAGGGAATACATGTGATTTTCTTTCCTACCGATCTACACAATCTACTCCACATTTTCAATGTGAAAGAAAAATTATAGAACATTTTCTGAATGTCTTGATTGCATAAAGATGTCTTGATTGCATATGTCTTCACACCCCAGAGTTGGAAGCACCTTTGGCAGCCATTACAGTTGTGAATAATTTTGAATAAGATTCTACCAACTTTGCACAACTCTTATGGCAACATACACTGAGTGTACAAAACATTAGGAACATCTGCTCATTCCATGACATAGACTGACCAGGTGAATCCAGGTGAAAGCTATGATCCCTTATTGATGTCACTTGTTAAATCCACTTCAATCATTGTAAATGAAGTGGAGGAGACAGGTTAAAGAAGGATTTTGAAGCCTTGAGACAATTAAGATATGGATTGTGTATGCGTGCCATTCAGATCGTGAGTGGGCAAGACAAAATATTTAAGTGCCTTTTGAACTGGGTATGGTAGTAAGTGGCAGGCGCACCGGTTTGAGTGTGTCAAGAACTGCAACGCTGCTGGGATTTTCACGCTCAACAGTTTCCTGTGTGTATCAAGAATAGTCTACCGCCCAAAGAACATCCAGCCAACTTGACACAACTGTGGGAAGCATTGGAGTCAACATGGGCCAGCATCCCTGTGGAATGCTTTCGACGCCTTGTAGAGTCCATGCCACGACAAACTGAGGCTGTTCTAAAGGGCAAAAGGGGGTGCAACTCAATATTAGGACGGTGTTCCTAATGTTTTGTGCACTCAGTGTATATCCATTGTTTTTCTCAAAACTGCTCAAGCTCAGTAAATTTGGTTAGGAATCATTGATGGACAGCAATATTCAAACTTTGTCTCTGATTTCCAAGCAAATTGAAGTCAGGACTGACATTGGACCACTCAACACCCCTTGGAAAGCCATTCTGGTGTCTCTTTAACATTACAATTTGTGTATTTGTCCACCTGAAAAATAAAACTATCCCAGGCCCACTGGGCACAGACATCAATTCCATGTCTATTCCACGTTGGTTCAAGGTAATTTCATTGAAATGACGTGGAAACAACGTTGATTCAACTTGTGTGTGCCCAATGGGGGGTTTGGTTTTCAGAAGACTGAGACGGATTTTCCTCTAACGTTTTACCTGAGGGCTTTGCTCCTTTCATATTTATTTTGATCCTGACAAACTCCCCAGTCCCTGCCGGTAACAAGCACACCCATAACATGATGCTGCCACCACAATACTTGAAAATACAGAGGGTTTCACTCTGTATTGTGTTGTACAGTGGGGAAAAAAAGTATTTAGTCAGCCACCAATTGTGCAAGTTCTCCCACTTAAAAAGATGAGAGAGGCCTGTAATTTTCATCATAGGTAGACGTCAACTATGACAGACAAAATGAGGAAAAAAAATCCAGAAAATCACATTGTAGGATTTTTAATGAATTTATTTGCAAATTATGGTGGAAAATAAGTATTTGGTCAATAACAAACGTTTCTCAATACTTTGTTATATACCCTTTGTTGGCAATGACACAGGTCAAACGTTTTCTGTAAGTCTTCACAAGGTTTTCACACACTGTTGCTGGTATTTTGGCCCATTCCTCCATGCAGATCTCCTCTAGAGCAGTGATGTTTTGGGGCTGTCGCTGGGCAACACGGACTTTCAACTCCCTCCAAAGATTTTCTATGGGGTTGAGATCTGGAGACTCCAGGACCTTGAAATGCTTCTTACGAAGCCACTCCTTCGTTGCCCGGGCGGTGTGTTTGGGATCATTGTCATGCTGAAAGACCCAGCCACGTTTCATCTTCAATGCCCTTGCTGATGGAAGGAGGTTTTCACTCAAAATCTCACGATACATGTCCCCATTCATTCTTTCCTTTACACGGATCAGTCGTCCTGGTCCCTTTGCAGAAAAACAGCCCCAAAGTATGATGTTTTCACTCCCATGCTTCACAGTAGGTATGGTGTTCTTTGGATGAAACTCAGCATTCTTTGTCCTCCAAACACGACGAGTTGAGTTTTTACCAAAAAGTTATATTTTGGTTTCATCTGACCATATGACATTCTCCCAATCCTCTTCTGGATGCACTCTAGCAAACTTCAGACGGGCCTGGACATGTACTGGCTTAAGCAGGGGGACACGTCTAGCACTGCAGGATTTGAGTCCCTGGCGGCGTAGTGTGTTACTGATGGTAGGCTTTGTTACTTTGGTCCCAGCTCTCTGCAGGTCATTCACTAGGTCCCCCCGTGTGGTTCTGGGATTTTTGCTCACCGTTCTTGTGATAATTTTGACCCCACGGGGTGAGATCTTGCGTGGAGCCCCAGATCGAGGGAGATTATCAGTGGTCTTGTATGTCTTCCATTTCCTAATAATTGCTCCCACAGTTGATTTCTTCAAACCAAGCTGCTTACCTATTGCAGATTCAGTCATTCCAGCCTGGTGCAGGTCTACAATTTTGTTTATGGTGTCCTTTGACAGCTCTTTGGTCTTGGCCATAGTGGAGTTTGGAGTG